ACATGAAGAACAACGTGATATTGGAGACAATGAAAATAACAACAATCACAACCGAGATGAACAACAAAATCTAGAACGACAATATCCAAGGAGAGAACGAAGAAGGCCGAACTATTATCATTAAGCCTTATTGTAAATAGAAAGGGCTGACAGTGACAGTCATATAACTTGTTGGACAATCAACAATTTGTCTTAGCATTCATATTCTGTTTTGTTAAATACCAACACATAGATATAGTGGTAGATGATTAACAACGAACTGCAATTGTGAAAAACTCTCAGAAAAGGAGGGATGTAGTATCTAGCATAATTAACATAATTAACATTAATTATGGACCACGAGGAAGTAAGCAAGATGGCGATATAGATGCAACTGTAAGATTATGTTCTGTTAGAGATTATTAAAGAAAGCATAGATAACAATGTTATAGACAACATTATACCCAGTAACTACCAGTCTTGATGATGACCTCATAAAGTAATTAGTGGTCACTGGTCAACACAACCTGCCACTTGCTAGTCCAAACGACATATAGCAAAGTTTATAGTCAACACTAAAATTAATGCACTTTAGTCTACAGGTCCAAACGACCTCAGTAGATAATGGTCCAAACGACCTTGTGGGTTCTATGGTCCACACGACCTCCCACCAAAACATTACTCACATCGTGCTCAGAGAGCCTGCAGCTCGAAAGGCGGCACACCCGCAATAAATACATTATTCAACAATGACCTGAGATGAATATGCCATTGTATGTATGAAGTTCCAGACAACCTGTCACAAATGAGTTTCATCTGCCCTCTTTGTTGATGAGCTGCTTCTTATGGCGGGTGATGTGTGTCAAAATTCAATAACACATTTGGCAATGATAACGTAACATTTTGCTACAATAATGACATATTTGGCAACGATAAAGTAACCTTTTGCTACAATTTTGTGGCGGTTACAAGACATTTATTAACAATAACAAAACATTCAATGACAAAGTATTATTTTGCAACAACATACTAGTAAACGTATCGTTTTAATATTTGCCAACAATCGTACATTTGGCAAGTGCAATCCCGTGATGCAAAAAACATATACAAAAGTCAGAAAAAATGTACAAAACTATTGCCAATTGGCCGAGAAATTTCGTGGGACAATTATCACTTAATATTTACTGAGATAGAGGGAAACAGTGTGTTTTGTGGACCCGAGACCACCATTGTTGCCCGAGGCGAACTGCTTTCCCAAGGAAGTGTTTTGTTATTGCTGCGGAGCGAGCGAGCCTGAAGCGAGCGAGCGTAGCAGCAGCCTAATATGTACAGAGAGGGGGTTTTGGACTAAATTTTATTTAGCGCATGGAATTGTGGTCGTGCGCGCTTTCTATGCGCAGAACACAAATTTTAAACTCGCTCGAGTCTTCGAATTTTTATCGAATTTCTAAAGCTTTTTCAATTCTAATGTTACGCTTACATTTGTTTTGGACTTTGGCCACTGTCAGTTCTATATTTTTATAAAGTTTTGGTTTCTTGTTTAATATCTGTCACCTCTGATTGCCCTTTAATCCCTGGTCTTTGCTACTTCAATATATATTGCTTCTTCTCAGTTGAGTCAGTTCCATTCACAGCTCACTAGTCGCTGCGAGTAATCACTGTGCTTGATATAATTTGTGCTGTTTACTGTAGTTCTATTTGCTTTTAATGCCCGCAGCAATCCCTACCTTGCAGGTACCCTAGTATAGTATATAAGTGTCAAAGTATCATGAAATAAATCACCGTAAATAAAATGAACTTTGGAACTTCACGATTGACACGCATGCGCCCATTTGTTGACCGGTTGCCCTCTCATCAAAACAAGCAGTAAACATGACGTTTTGTGGACCGACACGTGATACGATTTTGACCAATCGGCAAACAGGAAAATTGAACTTTGACACTTACTATATAACAATGGTGGATATTATTCAATACAAAAACATGGTCAATTACTTACTCGTTTCAGATAGAAACAAACAAGAAAATACGGAAAACGGATAGACTAGACATTAATCATAAGCTCTACAACATTTAAAATATGAAAAAGGATTACAAATTAAATAAAAAATCTCTTGAGTCTTGATACTGCACATGTTCAGTTGCAGTTTACACCGCATATGTTGAGGAGTTTAAGGGTCTTAATGTCCTAAATGTTCTAAGTGAATCTTCAAAAACTCATTAGTAATTCATGAGGAAAACACTAAGAAAAATCAAAAGCGTGTCATATCTTTATATGTGATAGAGATTTCCCTTGATTTACATAAACGTTAGATTGGATTTTCTTGACTTACACAACGTATTTTTTGAAAATTACTTCGCCAATGAACTTACTAGATCGATCGTTTTTGAAGCAATTTAAAACATTCACAGTGCGTGTTTTATCAGACCTAAAGATACTCGGCTTCGCCTCGTATCTTTATATCTGATAAAACACACTCTGCTGCTCATGTTTTAAATAGTGCATAAAATGTATAATCTTCAGCCGACAAAAACGTTTACAGGAACGACACACGCATGTAGATAAAGTTACGGTTACAGACTCCTGTTCGCGTCAATTTTGAATCTTCGACAACCTTCTAAAATTCATTAAAAATGACGTATTATGCTTCCTCTCGTAAAAGTGTTCATTCCGATATCCACATACATGCTCTGATGCTCACTTCAAAGTTCCAACATGAGCTCCACCTTTGAATTTACTATATGAGTAAATTCTTAATAAAACACGTCCTTTTAAAAAAGTTTTAAAAAGTTTTAAAAGAGTTTTGAAAAGCAAGAAAAGTTTAAAAAGTTAGATTTTTAAAAAAGTTAAAAAAATTTAAAAAGTTAAAAAAATTAGTGGTTAGGGGTTAGTGGTTAGGGGGTGGGGGTTGGGGTGGGGGTTGGGGTTAGGGTTAGTGTTAGGTGCCGCGAATTTATTATTATGATAAATTCAAAATTTGCCGCGAATTTATCATAATGATAAATTCGGACGTGTTTAAGAATTTACTCATATAGTAAATTCAAAGGTGGAGCTCATGCTGCAAAGTTCACAACAAAAATTTTACGCGAATTAGACAACATGAAAACTTCAAAAAACGGAGAAAACTTTGATATTCGAAAATATTATTGTGAGAAAATTATAAGGTAGGGTACAGTCCGTATGTTCATGCTTATATTTTCATGCTTCCACAGTATAATAAATGATGAAGATACAACAATCAGGCTTTGCAAGAACATAAATTAAATAAAAACCTAATTAAAGTGTTTAGCCTTTAGGCTATATCACGGCAGGAGACTCCTATGTTCGCATGCATGCGCAGACCGGACTGTATACTCTATCTTAGTAAAAAAAACAAATACAAAATTCGAAAAAATGTCCAAAGGCAAAGCTTTTACTATTGCGATTGATAAATAAATAAATAAATAAATAAATAAATAAATAAATAAATAAATAAATAAATAAATAAATAAATAAATAAATAAATAGGTAAATAGGTAAATAGGTAAATGGATAAATGGATAAATGGAGAAACGGAGAAACGGAGAAACGGAGGAACGAACGAACGAACGAACGAACGAACGAACGAACGAACGAACGAACGATCAGATCGATGTTCCTTATTGTAACATTACAGGGTCCTTTTTGTAACATTTCATGTTACAAAAAGAACAACATATGTCCCTTTTGTAACATAGTATCCTTTCTGTAACACCGGTCATTCCTTTCTGTAACATCAGACATTACTTTTTGTAACATTGAGTCCTTTTGGTAACAATGGTTGTTCCCTTTTGTAATATAAGCATCCTTTTTGTAACATTTGTTCTTCCTTTTTGTAACTTAAGCGTCCTTTTTGTAACATTGTAGATCTTCTTTTTGTAACATAAGTGTCCTTTTAGTAACATAAGTGTCCTTTTAGTAACATAAGTGTCCTTTTAGTAACATAAGTGTCCTTTGAATGACTAAGTGTCCTTTTTGTAACACAAGTGTCCTCTTTGTAACATTATTGTTATAGTTGTCCTTTTTGTAACACTTTTATAAGCAGATTTCCTGTATTGTAATGGCATAGTTATATTCTGCTCTGTTTTGGAGCTAATTCAGTTTTTTTTAATGTAAGTGCACATGATGGCAAGATAATCCGTATACAATACGCCTTGCCAAAAGGGCAATAATTTTGGCTTGAAGTGTTTGAATTAAACTTTGACTTTTTATAATAGCTCAGGAGGCTTGGGGCTTTAATACATCTAACATAAGCGGCCGATTTGTAACTAGTCACCTTTGCTTAGTTTTTTTTTTCAGTCCCAAATTGGATTGGACGCAATTGCTTTACCTTACATACCAAACATTAACAATACAGAGCATCTTTAACAAGGAAGGGGGGGCACCCTGGTGGTATTTAATAAGAAAATTAAGATTATAATTCTGGTGGTCTTGATATAACAGAAGAACCCAAACATTCAATGTGATTGTGTTAACTAATACACCCTTTCAGATAGTATGTAATTTGGGCTATAAAAATATTTTTGTGTGCTTGAGATTAGTTAACTCCAAGCATCTCAACCACGAAAAGGAGGCACCATAGCCAATGTGACGTACTTTTTGGAAGGGTCTATTTCAAATTTAACGATCACACAATCACACATCAAGTTAATGAGCAAATACGCATGCCAAAAGCAGAACACTAACAAAAATGTTTGCCGATATAGCAACCACATTGTTACTTGCTAGACTAGGAATAGGAAGGGAAGTAAATAGGTAAGTTGCCATAGGCTGGTTAGAATGTTGTAAGGTAGCCAAGTGAACAAGTACGAAATAATTCTTTGTAGGTTCATGGATGGTTGTTGGTGTAGGTCAGGAAGTTTAGTATATAATATATATATATATATATATATATATATATATATATATATATATATATATATATATATATATATATATATATATATATATATATATATATATATATATATAAGAATGTTCATTAAAAATTGAAAAGCACTACAGTTCTGTTTCGAGATGCACCTGAAGAGAGAGGATCTAGAAAGGGCCTCTCGAAACAGAACTGTAGTGCTTTTCAATTTTTAATGAACATTATTTTAATGAACATATATATATATATATATTCGAGCAACGGGAGGCAACACCATATAGTTACTTTTGAAATATTTCATGAACATCAAGATATTTGTTATGACACATGTTACTTCACCGCCTTAATTGCTTTTACAAGTCTATATGATCAATTAAGCCAATCGTCAGGGGTGTGTATTATGATTTGGCAGTGTTGTTTACGGTCGTAATAATATACCAAAAAAAATTTCTCAACTCTGATTGGCTAAGAGCACTGTAATTTTTTCGAAATAAAGTGCCAAAAAATAAAAAAACAATGCAAATTTCATTTATAAGATATACAGTAGCTATTCCTAGCAGAAAATAATAGAAAAAACCCATGCAACATTTACAAGTGACAACAATGGCTGCTTCTATCAAAATTATTTATATTAAAATTTCGCATGTGACTGCATCATTTTTTGATAATATTATTAATAAGTAATAACATGGTTTCTCGTGCAACTTGTGCTTATGAGTTTTTCAAAGACTTTAAACTGCACTCCTTGATCTTCTTTGAAAATTCACTCGTGAATTTTTCCGAAATTGCACTCGAAACGATTACCTATACCAATATCAAGTTATTTGTGACAAGTTTTGAAGAAGCTGTGAATTTGAAAAAGGCGTGATATAACCGTTAGGGACTTTAACAACAGGTCTAACAGTGTGTCAGAAAGGTGCTGCAATTAACTGGCTATATAAAGCCATAGATAGCATGCAGACGTATTAATTGTAACAAGGCGTTTTGAAACCAATATATTTTTTAAACGTTTCAAGATGTAACATTATGTACAAACATTAACACAACGGAAATAATGACTTAATGTGGAAATCTAAATCGTGAAAGAGGGATGATAGTTTACTGCCAGAACTCAAAAAGTTAGTGCATATTTCTTATAAGCAATTGGCAAGAGCGAGTTTCAATTGATATTTCTTATTTATGTTAAATCTGAACATTGGAGTGGTCAAAAATATATATTGTAAAGTCAACGTTAAGCCCATTTTCCACTAGGCGAGTTTGTTTGCCCAATGGAATGCGAAAAACAAATTTTGGCTATGTGATTGGTCAGCGAGAAAATTCGCAGCGAAAAAGTTCATACTTTCTACTGCTCGCGCGAACAAATTCGCAATGGGATTTAAATAGAATTTAATCGGATGATTGCGGAATTAAATGAGATTTAAATAGCGTCACATCTGAGTTGAGTTAACGGACTTGACCCAACCTGCGACCACCTATATGTCTCCGAAATATATATAAGGTCATAGGTCTATGTGAACGTTAGTAACGGACTTTCGGTATCAGGCAGTATACTAACTTCGCTTTTTGACGATTCAAATCCGTACAAATACGATCAGTTTGCATCATATTCAAACTTTAATTTTACAGGTGAACGATATGTAACTGTAACATAACAAGTGCAAAATGTTTTAATGTATATGTTATAAATATATAGTAAGAATGCTGTACCAGAAATAGCCAGTACTGAACAATTAACCTATTGCTGTTCAAGGCTCTTTCTACGTATAATAAAATTATCGATCTTTCATTCTCGCTAAAATAGTCCTGTACTATGCTTTACTATTCAAAGGGTCCTGAAGGGGGGGGGGGGTTGTATTCCCATTTCCCAGCCCAAATTTTGACTAAATCCCATTGTCTCAGAGCACAAATCCCATCACCGCAGTGGCTGTCCTGCTCAAATCTTAATCCCATTCCAAAAAATAAGCAAATCCCAGTTCCCATTTTACCCCTTCAGGACCCTCTATTCAAGTTATATAAGAAAAACTCTTACTGTCTTCAACGAAATTACAACTCTTAAAGCATGCATCATAATGAATAGTTTGCAAAATTTTGTTTCCTCTGATATTTGAGATTTGCTTGGTGCCTACACAGGAACTTATTGAGTATTGGTGAAATTTGTGTTGATGTAGGCCTAATAAGTAGTGCTTACCGTTCTGTTGAGTACGAGATTTGTGAACCATCTCGACCCTTGTAGAACGACAAGTAGCCTATATGCGGCTTCATTACGTCCGCAAAACCTGCATGCAACCTGTACATATGTTAGACGGGGGGAAATCTCGTCGTTGTCGTACGTGCAGTCAAATCTGATTCTTTATACTTCCCTAACTGCACATTCCACTAGTAACGTCAGAGACTACTGACAGTATTGTAGAACAACCCTGAATATTCATGATACTATAGAAATTACACCTAGTGGGCTCAATTTATACTTCATGCATGCACGCGAAGTAAAATGCCTGAACATCAAAGCGAGGAAACAAAAATCAGCAAGTATTAATTAAGGACGACAGATGCATGCAACAGATATAGCAACGTGCATAACATAATAACATACTCTTAGTTTTGTTTAAATCCAAGTCACTTCACTTTTCAGTCCGCTTTCATCTGATTTCTGGAACACATAATTTGATTTTTGTTACTTCTATACTGCAGACGTTATCACTCCACAATCTTTTCGTGAGAATGTTAAATCGATATAAACAGATATTTATGCCTCAAAGACAAAGTCCCGTACATAGGTTTTTCTATAAATAGGTTTTTCAAAGTTCATATAGGTTTGAACGTTCTGTCAACGTGTATTCATTTCTTGTTCATTTTGACATTCGCATGTAAACATTTCGTTCAGTCCTCACTTTGTCAGCAAGTTGACGAGCCGTACATCTATCAGCCAAATGTTTGAGCGTTCCATTTTTTTCTTTTTGAGAGATCACGTAATCTCTTTTTATCGGTTTATTGCTCTGAATGAAGTCCTTGACTAGGGTCTGAAACTCCACACTTTCTTCTTCTGTGAATAGTTTTGACTTACGCGTAGTCGCTGAAGTAGTTGATGGTGGAATTACACTTGGCGCATATTCACTGCCTGAACTGATCATCTTGTTTGTCATCTTGTCTGTCATCTTTTTCCGCATTGTCTAATCCAAATCTTCGCAAACGTTCTTTGGAAGATTCAACTTCTGTCGCTAATTGCGGAGGCTCTTTGTCTTTAAAAAGAGACCGTATCTTGTTCCTGATAACAATGCATGGCAACAATTTATGCCTCAAAGACAAAGTCCCGTACATAGGTTTTTCTATAAATAGGTTTTTCAAAGTTCATATAGGTTTGAACGTTCTGTCAACGTGTATTCATTTCTTGTTCCTTTTGACATTCGCATGTAAACATTTCGTTCAGTCCTCACTTTGTCAGCAAGTTGACGAGCCGTACATGTATCAGCCAAATGTTTGAGCGTTCCATTTTTTTCTATTTGAGAGATCACGAAATCTCTTTTTATCGGTTTATTGCTCTGAATGAAGTCCTTGAATAGGGTCTGAAACTCCACACTTTCTTCTTCTGTGGATAGTTTTGACTTACGCGTAGTCGCTGAAGTATAGTTGATGGTGGAATTACACTTGGCGCATATACACACTTCACGTTGTCCACACTTTCATCCATACTCCTTTAATGAAATAAAAAAATTCGACATCATTAAAATATATTTCAAACTAAAGTATAAACTTACGCCAGTAGTAGGGAAAGATTACAAATTTAGATAGTCTGCTGGGTATAAGAGCGGGAGCTACACGTAGAATATTTATCTAAATAAAATATAACAAAATAAAATGAAGACGAAACATAATAAAATCCATACAAGAACAAATAAAAGGTAAACGGTAAAGACAAAGTCTCTTGCTCATCATAAAAGCTGTACTTCACCCAAGCAGATGCACACAACAAACTAATTTAGCAAAAAACACTTAGCATATGCAAGTATTTTGCTGAAGAACGGTTACGCAACGCATTTATCGCAAAATTTGGCTTTAACTTCCTCTATTTCAATAAGTACTATAACCCAATTGCACCAAACGTCGGGACACTAAACTCATACATGCAGAATAGTGAATAATGTTAAACTATAAGGCATCATTCTCAATATTTGGATACTAACTTCCGTTTTCACAGGGAGTCCTACAGTAAAAACGTCATTATTCAGTCTGATAAACAACGTAAAGACCCCATAACTCGACGAAACATTGGGATACACACATGAAACTAATTCTACAAATGCACCTATTATAACCAAGGATTTTTAGGGGTATAACCGCCATGTAGCTAATGTATGGCAAAGGTTAGGGGCAGAAAACCTGTTAATATGACTAAAAATGACTGAAGCAACAATCCAATAAGATGTTTGCTTAAGAACTCCCTCTATTTCATTAAATACTCTACCCAATTGCAATAAACATTTTGAACACTAGGCCCGTACATGACGAATAGTGATTAATTTTAAACTAAGGCATTATTCTCAATATTTGGCCACTAACTGCTGTTTTCACAATGAATCCTTCATTTAAAACGTTATTATTTAGCCAGATACATACAAAATAAAGCCTCCTTAACTTGACGAGACATTGTTATAAGCACATGAAACTAATCCTGCAAAAACTCCAAGCATACGCTAGTATTTTCAAAGGTAGAACAGCCACTTAGCTAAAGTACAACAAAAGTTAGGGGAAGAAAACCTGTTAATACGACTAAAAATAACTGAAGGGTTAACAATCCATGCAGTAAGACTTTAGCGTAAGCAATCCTTCTATTTCATTAAATACAGAGTCTAATTCCACTAAACTTTGGGAAGACTAAACCCTTACATGCAGAATAGTGAATAATGTTCAAACTAAGGCATGATTCTTAATATTTGGCCACTAACTGCTGCCTTCACAAGAAATCCTTCACTAAAAACCTCATTATTTAGTCTGATAAACAAAATTAAGCCCCCTTAACTTGACCAGACATTGTGATACACGCATCAAACTAATTCTCCAAACACTCCAAGCATACCCAAGTATTTTCAAAGGTAGAACAGCCACTTGCCTAAAGCACAACAAAAGTTAGGGGCAGAAGACCTGTTAATATGACTAAAAGTGACTGAAGGATTAACAATCCAATAAGACTTTAGCTTAAGAACTCCTTCTATTTCATGAAATACTGTACCCAATTCCACTAAACTTTGGGAACAGTAAACCCATACACGCAGATAGTGAATAATGTTTAATTAAGGCGTTATTCTCAAAATTTGGCCAATAACTGCTGTTTTCACACGGAATCCTTCATTTAAAACGTCACTATTTAGTCTGATATACAACATAAAGCCTCCTTAACTTGACGAGACATTGTGATAAACGCATGAAACTAATTGTGCAAACACACACACATTACATGCAAGCATTTTAAGGGCTAGAACAGCCATGAAGCTATAGTAGCCACAATAGAGGTTACGGGCAGAAAACCTGTTAATATGACTAAAAATGACTGAAGGAACAATACAATAAGACTTTAGCTTAAGAACTCCCTTTATTTTATTAAATACTGCATCCAATTGCCCTAAACTTTGGCAACATTAAACTCTTACATGCAGAATAGTGATTAATTTTAAACTAAAGCATTGTTATCAATATTTGTACATTAACCGCTGTTTCAGAAGGAATCCTTCATTAAAACGTCATTATTTAGTCTGATATACAACATAAAGCCTCCATAACTTTACGAGACATGATGGTAAACACATGAAACTAATTCTGAAAACGCACCTAGTATATCCAAGAATTTTCAGAAGTAGAACAGCCATGAAGCTAAGCTACAGTAAAAGTTAGGGACAGGAAACCTGTTCATGTGAGTAAAAATGACTGAAGGAACAATCCAATAAGACTTTAGCTTAAGAACTCCCTCTATTTCATTAAATACTGTACCAATTGCAATAAACTTTGGGAACACTAAAGCCCTGCACGCCGAATAGTGAATAATTTTTAACTACGGCATTATTCTCAATATTTGGACATTAACTGCTTTTTTCACAAGGAATCCTTCATTAAAAACGTCATTATTTAGTCTGATAAACAAAATTAAGCCCCCTTAACTTGACGAGACTTTGTGATACGCGCATCAAACTAATTCTGCAAACACTCCAAGCACACACAAGTATTTTCAAAGGTAGAACAGCCACTTAGCTAAAGTAGAACAAAAGTTAGGGGCAGAAGACCTGTTAATATGTCTAAAAGTGACTGAAGGGTTAACAATCCAATAAGATTTTAGCATAAGAACTCCCTATATTTCATTAAATACAGTGTCTAATTCCAGTAAACTTTGGGAACACTAAACTCTTACATGCAGAATAGTGATTAATTTCAAACTAAAGCATTATTATCAATATTTGGACATTAACTGCTGTTTTCAGAAGGAATCCTTCATTAAAACGTCATTATTTAGTCTGATATACAACATAAAGCCTCCATAACTTTACGAGCCATGATGGTAAACACATGAAACTAATTCTGAAAACACACCTAGTCTATCCAAGAATTTTCAGACGTAGAACAGCCATGAAGCTAAAGTACAGTAAATGTTAGGGACACGAAACCTGTTCATATGACTAAAAATGACTGAAGGAACAATCCAATAAGACTTTAGCTTAAGAACTTCCTCTAATTCATTAAATACTGTACCCAATTGCAATAAACTTTGGGAACACTAAACCCTTGCACGCCGAATAGTGAATAACTTTTAACTAAGGCATTATTCTCAATATTTGGACATTAACTGCTTTTTTCACAAGGAATCCTTCATTAAAAACATCATTATTTAGTCTGATAAACAAAATAAGCCCGCTTAACTTGACCACACTTTCTGATAAGCGCATCAAACTAATTCTGAAAACACTCCAAGCATACACAAGTATTTTCAAAGGTAGAACAGCCACTTTGCTAAAGTAGAACAAAAGTTAGGGGAAGAAGACCTGTTAATATGTCTAAAAATGACTGAAGGGTTAACAATCCAATAAGACTTTAGCATAAGAACTCCCTATATTTCATTAAATACTGTGTCTAATTCCAGTAAACATTGGGAACACTAAACCCTTACATGCAGAATAGTGAATAATCTTAAACTAAGGCATTATTCACAATATTTGGACATTAACTACTGTGTTTAGAAGGTATCCTTCATTAAAACGTCATAATTTGTCTGATATACAACATAAGGCAACTATAACTTTACGAGACATGATGGTAAACACATGAAACTAATTCTGAAAACATAGCTGATATACCCTAGCATTTTCAGGGCTAGAACAGCCATGAAGCTAAAGTACAATAAAAGTTTGGGACAGGAAACCTGTTAATATGACTAAAAATGACTGAAGCAACAATCCAATAAGATGTTTGCTTAAGAACTCCCTCTATTTCATGAAATACTGTACACAATTCCACTAAACTTTGGGACGGTAAACCCATACACGCTGAATAGTGAATAATGTTTAATTAAGGATTATTCTCCAAATTTGGCCATTAACTGCTGTTTTCACAAGGAATCCTTCATTAAAAACGTCATTATTTAGTCTGATAAACAAAAGTAATCCCCCTTAACTTGACCAGACTTTGTGATACGCGCATCAAACTAATTCTCCAAACACTCCAAGCAAACAAAAGTATTTTGAAAGGTAGAACAGCGCTGCACTTAGCTAAGGTAGAACAAAAGTTAGGGGCAGAAGACCAGTTAATATGAGTAAAAATGACTGAAGGGTTAACAATCCAATAAGATTTTAGCATAAGAACTCCCTCTATTTAACTAAATACAGTGTCTAATTCCAGTAAGCTTTGGGAACACTAAACCCTTACATGCAGAATAGTGAATAATCTTAAACTAAGGCATTATTCTCAATATTTGGACATTAACTGCTGTTTTTAGAAGGAATCCATCATTAAAACGTCATAATTTGTCTGATATATAACATAAAGCTTTCATAACTTTACGAAACATGATGGTAAACACACGACACTAATTCTGAAAACATACCTGATATACTCTACCATTTTCAGGGCTAGAAAGCCATGAAGCTAAAGTGCAATAAAAGTTAGGGACAGGAAACCTGTTAATATGACTTAAAATGACTGAAGCAACAATCCAATAAGATGTTTGCTTAAGAACTCCTTCTATTTCATGAAATACTGTACCCAATTCCACTAAACTTTGGGAACAGTAAACCCATACACGCAGAATAGTGAATAATGTTTAATTAATGCATTATTCTCCAAATTTGGCCATTAGCTGCTGTTTTCACAAGGAATCCTTCATTTAAAACGTCATTATTTAGTCTGATATACAACATAAAGCCTCCTTAACTTGACGAGACATTGTGATAAACGCATGAAACTAATTGTGCAAACACACACACATTATATGCGAGCATTTAAAGGGCTAGAACAGCCATGAAGGTATAGTACAATAGAGGTTACGGCAGAAAACCTGTTAATATGACTAAAAATGACTGAAGGAACAATACAATAAGACTTTAGCTTAAGAACTCCCTTTAGTTTATTAAATACTGCATCCAATTGCACTAAACTTTGGCAACACTAAACTCTTACATGCAGAATAGTGATTAATTTCAAACTAAAGCATTATTATCAATATTTGGACATTAACTGCTGTTTTCAGAAGGAATCCTTCATTAAAACGTCATTATTTAGTCTGATATACAACATAAAGCCTCCATTACTTTACGAGCCATGATGGTAAACACATGAAACTAATTCTGAAAACACACCTAGTCTATCCAAGAATTTTCAGAAGTAGAACAGCCATGAAGCTAAAGTACAGTAAATGTTAGGGACACGAAACCTGTTCATATGACTAAAAATGACTGAAGGAACAATCCAATAAGACTTTAGCTTAAGAACTTCCTCTATTTCATTAAATACTGTACCCAATTGCAATAAACTTTGGGAACACTAAACCCTTACATGCAGAATAGTGAATAATCTTAAACTAAGGCATTATTCTCAATATTTGGACATTAACTGCTGTTTTTAAAAGGAATCATTCATTAAAACGTCATAATTTGTCTGATATACAACATAAAGCTACCATAACTTTACAAGACACGATGGTAAACACATGAAACTAATTCTGAAAACATACCTAATATACCCTAGCATTTTCAGCGCTAGAACAGTCATGAAGTTAAAGTAGAATAGAAGTTACGGACAAGAAACCTGTTAATATGACTAAAAATGACTGAAGCAACAATCCAATAAAATGTTTGCTTAAGAACTCCCTCTATTTCATGAATTACTGTACACAATTCCACTAAACTTTGGGAACACTAAACCCTTGCATGCCGAATGGTGAATAATTTTAAACTAAGGCATTATTCTCAATATTTGGACATTAACTGATTTTTTCACAAGGAATCCTTCATTAAAAACGTCATTATTTAGTCTGATAAACAAAATTAAGCCCCCTTAACTTGACCAGGCCGACTTTGTGATACGCGCATCAAACCAATTCTCCAAACACTCCAAGCAAACACAAGTATTTTCAAAGGTAGAACAGCCACTTAGCTAAAGTAGAACAAAAGTTAGGGGCACAAGACCAGTTAATATGACTAAAAATGACTGAAGGGTTAACAATCCAATAAGACTTTAGCATAAGAACTCCCTCTATTTCACTAAATACAGTGTCTAATTCCAGTAAAGTTTGGGAACACTAAACCCTTAGATGCAGAATAGTGAATAATCTTAAACTAAGGCTTTATTCTCAATATTTGGAAATTAACTGCTGTTTATAAAAGGAATCCTTCATTAAAACGTCATAATTTGTCTGATATACAACATAAAGCTACTATAACTTTACAAGACATGATGGTAAACACATGAAACTTATTCTGAAAACATACCTAATATACCCTAGCATTTTCAGCCCTAGAACAGCCATGAAGTTAAAGTAGAATAAAAGTTAGGGACAAGAAACCTGTTAATATGACTAAAAATGAATGAAGCAACAATCCAATAAAATGTTTGCTTAAGAACTCCCTCTATTTCATGAAATACAGTACACAATTCCACTAAACTTTGGGAACGGTAAACCCATAGACGCAGAATAGTGAATAATGTTTAATTAAGGCATTATTCTCCAAATTTGGCCATTAACTGCTGTTTTCACAAGGAATCCTTCATATAAAACGTCATTATTTAGTTTGATATACAACATAAAGCCTCCTTAACTTGACGAGACATTGTGATAAACGCATGAAACTAATTGTGCAAACACACACACACATTATATGCGAGCATTTAAAGGGCTAGAACAGCCATGAAGGTATAGTACAATAGACGTTACGGGCAGAAAACCTGTTAATATGACTAAAAATGACTGAAGGAACAATACAATAAGACATTAGCTTAAGAACTACATTTATTTTATTAAATACTGCACCCAATTGCCCTAAACTTTGGCAACATTAAACTCTTACATGCAGAATAGTGATTAATTTTAAACTAAGGCATTATTGTCAATATTTGGACATTAACTGCTGTTTTCAGAAGGAATCCTTCATTAAAACGTCATTACTGATTTAGTCTGATATACAACATAAAGCCTCCATAACTTTACGAGACATGATGGTAAACACATGAAACTAATTCTGAAAACACATCTATTGTATATCCAAGAATTTTCAGAAGTAGAACAGCCATGAAGCTAAAGTACAGTAAAAGGTAGGGACACGAAACCTGTTCATATGACTAGAAATGACAGAAGGAACAATCCAATAAGACTTTAGCTTAAGAACTCCCTCTATTTCATTAAATACTGTACCCAATTGCAATAAACTTGGGGAACTCTAAACCCTTACATGCCGAATAGTTAATAATTTAAAACTAAGGCATTATTCTCAATATTTGGACATTAACTGCTGTTTTCAAAGGAACCCTTCATTAAAAATGTCATTATTCAGTCTGATACACAAAATTATGCCGCCTTAACTTGACCAGACATTGTGATACACGCAGCAAACTAATTCTGCAAACTTTCCAAGCGTACGCAAGTATTTTTAAAGGTAGAAGAGCCACTTAGCTAAAGTACAACAAAAGTTAGGGGCAGAAGACCTGTTAATATGAATAAAAATGACTGAAGAGTTAACAATCCAATAAAACTTTAGCTTAAGAACTCCCTCAAATTCATTAAATACTGTACCCAATTGCAATAAACTTTGGGAACACTAAACCGTTGCATGCCGAATGGTGAATAATTTTAAACTAATGCATTATTCTCAATATTTGGACATTAACTGCTTTTTTTCACAAGGAATCCTTCATTAAAAACGCCATTATTTAGTCTGATAAAGAAAATTAAGCCCCCTTAACTTGACCAGACATTGTGATACACGAATCAAACTAATTCTCCAAACACTCGAGGCATACGCAAGTATTTTCAAAGGTAGAACAGCCACTTACCTAAAGCAGAACAAAAGTTATAGGGGCAGACGACCGGTTAATATGACTAAAAATGACTGAAGGGTTAACAATCCAATAAGACTTTAGCATAAGACCTCCTTCTATTTCATTAAAATACAGGGTCTAATTCCAGTAAACTTTGGGAACACTAAACCTTACATGCAGAATAGTGAATAATTTTAAGCTATAGCATTATTCTCAATATTTGGACATTCAGTGCTGTTTTTAGAAGGAATCCTTCATTTAAACGTCATTGGTTAGTCTGATATACAACATAAAGCTACTATAACTTTACGAGACTTGATGGTAAACACATGATACTAATTCTGAGAACATATCTAATATACTCTAGCATTTTCTGGGCTAGAACAGCCATGAAGCTAAAGTAGAATAAAAGTTAGGGACAAGAAACCTGTTAATATGACTAAAATTGACTGAAGCAACAATCCAATAAAATGTTTCCTTAAGAACTCATTCTATTTCATGAAATACTGTACCCAATTCCACTAAACCTTCGGAACAGTAAACCCATACACGCAGAATAGTGAGTAATGTTTAATTAAGGCATTATTCTCAATATTTGGCCATTAACTGCTGTTTTCACAAGGAATCCTTCATTTAAAACGTCATTATTTAGACTGATATACAACATAAAGCCTGCATAACTTTACGAGACATGATGGTAAATACATGAAACTAATTCTGAAAACGCACCTAGTATATACAAGAATTTTCAGAAGTGGAACAGCCATGAAATTAAAGTACAGTAAAAGTTAGGAACAGGAAACCTGCTCATATTAGTAAAAATGACTGAAAGAACAATCCAATAAGAATTTTGCTTAAGAACTCCCTCTATTTCATTAAAGACTGTACCCAATTGCAATAACCTTTGCATGGGAACACTAAACCCGTGCATGCCGAATAGTGAATAATTTTAAACTAAGGCATTATTCTCAATATTTGGACATTAAATGCTTTTTTCACAAGGAATCCTTCATTAAAAACGTCATTATTTAGTCTGTTAAAGAAAATTAAGCCCCCCTAACTTGACCAGACATTGTGATACACGCATCAAACTAATTCTCCAAACACTCCAAGGATACGCAAGTATTTTCAAAGGTAGAACAGCCATTTAGCTTAAGCACAACAAAAGTTAGGGGCAGACGACCTGTTAATATGACGAAAAATGATTGAATGGTTAACAATCCAATAAGACTTTAGCATAAGAACTCCCTATATTTCATTAAAATACAGTGTCTAATTCCAGTAAACTTTGGGAACACTAAACCCTTAAAAGCAGAATAGTGAATAATCTTAAACTAAGGCATTATTCTCAATATTTGGACATTAACTGCTGTTTTCACAAGGAATCCTTCATTAAAAACGTCATTATTTAGTCTGTTAAAGAAAATTAAGCCCCCTTAACTTGACCAGACATTGTGATACACGCATCAAACTAATTCTCCAAACACTCCAAGCATAGGCAAGTATTTTCAAAGGTAGAACAGCCACTTAGCTAAAGCACAACAAAAGTTAGGGGCGGACGATCTGTTAATATAACGAAAAATGATTGAATGGTTAACAATCCAATAAGACTTTAGCATAAGAACTCCCTATATTTCATTAAAATACAGTGTCTAATTCCAGTAAACTTTGGGAACACTAAACCCTTACATGCAGAATAGTGAATAATTTTAAGTTAAAGCGTTATTCTCAATATTTGGACATTAAGTGCTGTTTTTAGAAGGAATCCTTCATTTAAACGTCATTAGTTAGTCTGATATACAACATAAAGCTACCATAACTTTACGAGACATGATGGTAAACACATGATACTAATTCTGAGAACATATCTAATATACTCTAGCATTTTCTGGGCTAGAACAGCCATGAAGCTAAAGTAGAATAAAAGTTAGGGACAAGAAACCTGTTAATATGACTAAAATTGACTGAAGCAACAATCCAATAAAATGTTTCCTTAAGAACTCATTCTATTTCATGAAATACTGTACCCAATTCCACTAAACCTTGGGAACAGTAAACCCATACACGCAGAATAGTGAGTAATGTTTAATTAAGGCATTATTCTCAATATTTGGCCATTAACTGCTGTTTTCACAAGGAATCCTTCATTTAAAACGTCATTATTTAGTCTGATATACAACATAAAGCCTCCATAACTTTACGAGACATGATGGTAAATACATGAAACTAATTCTGAAAACGCACCTAGTATATCCAAGAATTTTCAGAAGTAGAACAGCCATGAAGTTAAAGTACAGTAAAAGTTAGGGACAGGAAACCTGTTCATGTGAGTAAAAATGACTCAAGGAACAATCCAATAAGACTTCAGCTTAAGAACTCCCTCTATTTCATTAAATACTGTACCCAATTGCAATAAACGTTGGGAACACTAAACCCTTGCACGCCGAATAGTGAATAATTTTAAACTAAGGCATTATTCTCAATATTTGGACATTAACTGCATGCTTTTTTCACAAGGAATCCTTCGTTAAAAACGTCATTATTTAGTCTGATAAACAAAATTAAGCCCCCTTAACTTGACCAGACTTTGTGATACGCGTATCAAACTGATAGTGCAAATACTCCAAGCATACACAAGTCTTTTCAAAGGTAGAACAGTCACTTAGCTAAAGTAGAACAAAAGTTAGGGGCAGAAGATCTGTTAATATGACTAAAAATGACTGAAGGGTTAACAATGCAATAAGACTTTAGCATAAGAACTCCCTCTATTTCATTAAATTCAGTGTCTAGTTCCAGTAAACTTTGGGAACACTAAACCCTTACATGCAGAATAGTGAATAATCTTAAACTAAGGCATTATTCTCAATACTTGGACATTAACTGCTGTTTTCACAAGGAATCCTTCATTAAAAATGTCATTATTCAGTCTGATAAACAAAATTAAGCCGCCTTAACTTGACCATGCAGACATTGTGATAAACGCATAAAACTAATTCTCCAAACCCTCTAAGCGTACGCAAGTATTTTCAAAGGTAGAACAATCCTTAGCTAAAGTAGAACAAAAGTTAGGGGCAGAAGACCTGTTAATATGACTAAAAATGACTGAAGGGTTAACAATCCAATAAAACTTTAGCTTTAGCTTAGCTCTATTTCATTAAATACTGTACCCAATTGCAATAAACTTTGGAAACGCTAAATGCGTAATAGTGAATAATCTTAAACTAAGGCGTTATTCTCAATATTTGGCCTTGAGCTGCTGTTTTCACAAGGAATCCTTCATTAAAAACGTGATTATTTAGTCTGATGTGCCACATAAAGCCTCCTTAACTTTACGAGACATTGTGGTAAACACCGATGAAACTAATTCTGAAAACACACCTAGTATACCTTAGCAGTTTCAGGGCTAGAACAGCCATGAAGCTAAAGTACAATAAAAGTTAGGGACAGGAAACCTGTTAATATGACTAAAAATGACTGAAGCAACAATCCAATAAGATGTTTGCTTAAGAATCCCTCTACTTCATGAAATACTGCACCCAATTCCACTAAACTTTGGGAACACTAAACCCTTACATGTCAAATAGTGAATAATTTTAAACTAAGGCATTATTCTCAAAATTTGGCGTTGAGCTGCTGTTTTCACAAGGAATCCTTAATTAAAAACGTCATTTTTAAGTCTGATAAACATAATAAAGCCCTCTTAACTTGACGAGACTTTGTGGAACACACATGAAACTAATTCTGCAAACACACCTAAGATGTGCAAGTGTTTTGGTTGGAAGAACAGTTGTGTGAGTTATGTAGCTAAATAGAACAAAAGTTTGGTCCAGGGAACCTGTTAATATGAGTTTATAAAGACGGAAACTTTATTTTGAAGTATACTATCTAGCAATCACCAATATAACTAAAGCCTGTTTTCCACTAGGCGGAATTTTGCGCTCGGAGAGTAATTTTTCTTTGTCTTTTCTAATTATTTCCACCCGCGGAGAAATCACAAGACAAAGAGAAATTCCGCTCCGCGCGCAAAATTCCGCCTAGTGGAAAACCGGATTTAAGCCTGTTTTCCAGTAGGCGTTATTTTGCGCGCGGAGCGGAATTTTTCTTTGTTGAACTAATTGTAGTTCCACCCGAGAAATCACAAAACAAAGAAAACAGGCTTTAGCAGGCGCTTCGTGCGGGCTTAACCTGCGATCAGGCCTATTAATAAATAAAAGTTTTGTGGTTTTGTAAAATCATAGAGGTAAAATACAGCCTGATACTCAGGTTAAGTGCGGGCGGGAGAAGCGATGCTTTTATATACAAATACACGAGGATCATGGCGTATACATAATATTATATAAACAATTCGATTCGATCGAAGTCTTTAAAATGGGTTCTTATGCGATTTTGTGAGCTAAAAATAAGGAAGGCTTATAAAACAAAGCTAAGATATGCAAGGGGAGGAAAAGAATGGTTATATTGGTAAAAACAGACTGGAGAACACTGAAACGTTCTAATGGCGATAATTGCAACATATTTGTAGGTGTTCAGGAACATTCTTGCCACTATTTCGACATCTGGTTGTGCCAATGTTTCAGCTAAGGGACTGTTTTACATTCCTGTTGGAAAATAGTGTGGTACAGATCTACAATGACCGATTGTCCGGCAAGCAACTGAAATATTCATACTTCACCGAGCGGAAGATGTTGAAATTGCAAGATGATTTGGGTTGCAGGATGTTGTCCCTCGTGTTGTCGTGTATTGTGTAATACCTGTATTTGGGGAATTTAATATCAATTGCAGCTAAAGACTGTTCTTGTAGTCAAACAAAACAATATTGTAACCAAATGCCCCAAGAAAATGTTTCTCTGTTATATAATACTAATTCTTCATGGCAGCTACCTGTTCTGGTTTGGTGGGTATCACAATGTGAAGCACAAATGTCTGTGGTAATGTCTGATTTAGTCATGTGGGACAATTATGAGTGGATTTATAATAAAGCAAAACAAAGGTATCGTAAGAAAGTTCCCTTCTTCAAATGGAAAAGACAGGTAAATAATATGCCGGCTTAGCCTGCATATTAAAAAGGCTTTATATGTGGCGAGAAATACTACCATGATGGTATTGTCAAAAGCAAGTACTGTATATTGACTTGAACAGAAATAATTTACCGTTCAGTACTGAGCATCAATACTAAAACACTGCGTGCAAAATAAGGAAATTTATAATTATTTTTTGTCATTCTATGATTGAGAAATGTCTATGAATAGATAGCCTCCTGCACAGATGTTGTTAGTGGCTGAGGCCCCACCTAACGTCTGCTCACATTCGCTACCCATTTGACTTCCCGGCAATTAACCAATCACAATCATGTACACAATAATTGAAACATCGACCTTCACTGACCTTCACATACATGGGCTATTATCAACAAGTCTGTAGTATTTTTAAATTTGAAAGTTTTAGAATACTGCGCATCAGAAAAAGGCTTTACATTTTATCATAAACGAAAAGGATGTTTTTGACAATCTCACAATTAACTGACGCTGGAAATCACTTATTTATCACGCTGTTACCGAAGCTATTCGATGTAATATTCGGATTTAAATATTTGAACAAATTGTATTAACATGTAAACATTTACAACAAAGTGTATAGCAAAATGGTTTGTGCTTTGTCTGCTTTGGTTATTGATGCATGAAGCTTATATGATTAAAGGATGGTATGTAGTATAATCAATCCTAAAAATGTGTTCGCTTTTGTGGCCATTTTAATAGTTGTTAATATTTTATATTGTTTATTAAATTGAATTTGTCTTTTTACACATTGCCTTGTATTATCTATTGCATGTAGTACTAGCATGCAAGTTTATATGAGCATTTCAATTATGAAGGGTTTACATCAGAGGGTTGAGGTATGTATATTAACTAGAATGGCTCATATTACATGCAATAGCCGATAATACGAGGCAACATATAAAAAGAAAAATTCAAGACAATATAAAATAACGACTGTTAAACTGGTCAAAGCCAATCGATTCCTGTGACTTTGAGAATTACAAATGCGAACACATGTTTAGGATTTATTATAGTACATACTGACATGAGCTTCATGCATCATGCCATACACTTTGTCTTCAACAATGACTCTGCTGTGCCATATAATACAAAATATTTCCCTTCTTCCAATGCCTTTGCTTTTTTATCGCTCTCGATTCCACTTAATAATGACACAGCACTGACTCCTAGATCGTGTAGTTTTTTTTTACTTGATCTCCCATTGAATTTATAAATGGCAAAACCATAATTTAATACTAAATATTTACAATGTTTACAATTTGTTTAAATATTTATATGTGAATATTACATCGAATAGCTTCGGTAACGGCGTGATAAATAAGTGATTTCCTGCACCAGTTGTGAGATTTACAAAAACATCCTTCTTTTTGTTTATAATAGAATGAAAAGCCTTTTTTCTGGTGCGGAGTATTTAAAACTTTTAAATTTAAAAATACTACAGACTTGTTGATAATAGCCCATGCATGTGAAGGTCATTGAAGGTCGATCTTTCAATTATCGTGTAGATGATTGTGATTGGTTAATTGCCTGGAAGTCAAATGTGTGGCGAATGTGAGCAGACGTTAGCCTAGAGCACTAACAACGTCTGTGTAAGTCTTTTTTATGATGGATAGGAGCCGGGCTGGTATGTGTCGAAAAACTCAGCCGTTTTCAAAATTATAAATATACAGTATGTACAGTAAATATATTTTATAGTATAATATATGACCACAACAATTACTATAGCAGGAACAAGCCTGACATGCAATTGATCCATTAATTAAGCTGCAATACACCCAACTTTATTGTTTTACTTTGCCTAATGCCAGACAATTTTCCGTGGAGAGTCTTGCGCTTTAATTTAATGGATTAAATTAGACTTCTGTTGTCATTCTATGTTCTCGAGTTTTGTTTCTGTATCCAGGTTTATTTCAGGCCAATATTTGTCTTGGTATTAATCGAAATATTCAAAAGTTTACTGTACTGTACCATACTGTATATATACTGTATACTGTATATTGTGGCATTTGAAAGCTGTAATTATTTCCAACAAATTGTTGACAAATGGGAATTTAGCTCTGAAGTATTGGATTAACTATGAACCAACCATAGATATCTTATATACACTAGATAGTGCATCTAATTATTCTGAAATTCAAAAATTGAAGCCGTGATTGCAGTCTCAGGTCGTTCCCATGAAATTAGAAGATTCGTATGTTTTCTATTTCTTAAACAGGGAACTTAAACATTAAGTTAACCCTATTCCAAATTCGTTTTTAAAATATTCAAATGAAGAAAATTATTGTTGTTTGTAAGCGTTTATTAGCAAGTGGGAACGACCAACATGGCCGCCATCTATTCAAATGGGGGTAACCGCTGGAATATTGTTGGCTTCAATTTTACTAAAAGAGATATGCTATCTAGTGTATATAAGATATCTATGGAACCAACCAAATATTTTACTCTGTCTAAACCCAGATGACTTTACTCATCAAGTCCTGAGAGAGTGCTGCCACTTAATAGGTTAATTAATCATAGTGTCCGCCTGTGCACTCTGTTAAAACCATTTTAGTGGCAATGCGTCCTAGTGCGGCCTACTTTGTTATTTTACCCTAATGGCAGATGAATTTACTCATCAAGGGGAGAGTGTTGCCACATAATAGGTTAATCAGAGTGTGCACCCATTTGAGGCCAGTAGTACTAGTTTATCGGTCTATGACTGTACAGTGTTTTACCCTCTTGAAATAAAGTTTTACATTACATTACCCAAGTATCTTGTCAAAACCATTTTGGTGGCAATGCGGCCTGGTGCCGCATCTGCCCATGTATCCTGTTAACCCGCTAGCTGACAGCATGTTGTTCCCAACTTTATTATTTTACTCTGAATAATGCCAGACAATTTTGCTTGTCATGGGGAGACGGCTGACACTTAATGGGTTAATCAGACTAACTGACCATTCATCCTGCCAAAATCCTATCTGTAAGGGGCAACATGGCCTTGTTTGCCCTCTTTTTATTTTTCTCTGTCTAATGCCGGATGATTTTACTCATGAAGGGGAGAGTGCTGTCACTTGATGGGTTAATTAGTACAGTAGACTGTAGTCTGTCCATGCATCCTGTGAATAGTGTATGTACATTTGGGATTGATAAGCTAGCCTTATGATGTACCATGATTCAATTTTGCATGAAACCATATAAATAGTTAACAAGGTACAGTAATCTAATTCTATATATATGCTCTAGTCGGTTTTATGTTTTCGCTTTTTGTTATAGTTCTATTGTTTCAAACCTGCAATATAGATGTTTAGCTCGTGCTCACATAATTTGTTTCCGGCAACCCTGGGGGATTTTCTCACCACCCCGGGAAGGCAGATGTGTTTTGGCTCTGTATATTTTAGCAAAAACAATGAGTTTGATAGCAAAAAGCAATGAGTTTTGAATGTAAAAAAAGAGTTTGGTAGCAAAAACAAATGTGCGTTTTGAATGCAGAAAACGACCAGTTTGGTAGGAAAAACAGTGAGTTTGGTGGCAAAAAGTGTGACTTTGATGGCAAAAACATTTTTTTCAATAGCAAAAAAGTGAGTTTGGTAGCAAAAGCAATGGGTTTAATAGCAAAAACAATGAGTTTGATGGCAAAAACAACGAGTTTTGAATGAAAAACAACGAGTTTTGGTAGCAGTAAGAAAAAGCAGTGAGTTTGGCACTGTTTTTACTGCCAATATAACCATTTTGGTAGTGTTTCGAGTAGTGTAGCACAAGAAATGTATTAAAAAAACCGTAGTGCAGATGAGCTGGTAATTTATTATTTCTATGATTAATATGAAATGTCCCGTGTTAATCAAGGAACACATAATTTTAATATAAAAAAATAATACCAAACTTACCTCAACCAGGACTACAAATCCACAATCGATCCAGATATTTAGTAAATAGATATAAAACGACGGCGACTTTCTTCTTTTGTAATTTACAAACAACAGACTAGCAGAGCTGAGCTTTGTCTCTGAACTCGTGACTCGGCCCAGTTTCTCTCTCGGTACTTGGTGGGGCAACATAGGCAAGTACTTTGGGGCTATTCTAAAACGTACAGACACCTGAAAATGCCGTATTTTAAAAATCGGAGAAAAATTCCCCAGTTTGTCTTGCATTTCAGTGGCACTATTTTTATATGCATTTAAAGTTACTAATTGGATTTTAATAGAGTTAAAATATTATACGCAAACATATCATGAAAAAAAGCCAAACCAGCTGAATAATATTTCTGATCACAAAGTAGCTTTTTTAGGTAAATTGTGGCATTTTTGCTTGGCCGCACATTATTAGTTCATGTATAAGTCTAAACTAGATCCTTTGGAACTGTCAATTCTGGAAAGAAAAACTTTTATCTTAGAAAAAGGATTATTTTATGTTACAAAAAGGAAAATTTCCTTGTTGTAACATGCAATTTTTCATGAAAATTGTAAATTTCGGGAAAACTGTTTAATGAAAAATTCCGGAAAAATCATGTTAACAAATGTAACTCTCTGACGCAACTTTGTGCCAAATATAAACTGAGTTGATTAAAACCTGGCAATTTTAGAAACTTTTGCACATTTTGTTTTTTTCCAACATTTCAAATAAGCACTTGTCTAGAGTTGCAAGCTGAGTAAAAGTATAACAGGAACATTTCAAAATATTTTGCTTCCTAGCTTCAACAATTATTCGCTATGAATACTTGCGGGTATGACAGAAGAGACGAGGTTGATTGCGACTTCACTGCCTTGCTGAGTCCGGTGAAAAAAGACAAAAAATTGAGCGTTTCTCAGACCAAATTCCTTTTTGTACCATTTGCGCTGTCTTTGTTTGAAAATGTTATGGCATATTTACTCCAATGCTTTGCGACTTAAATATGTTCAGAACAGACCATATTTAGTACAATATACTTTTTCTCCGAAGAGATCTATCAAATCCTGAAACAAAGGTTACCATTCGAAAAAATGTTACCAAAATGCAGGGACATTGATCTAAGAACGAACGAACGAACGAACGAACGAACGAACGAACGAACGAACGAACGAACGAACGAACGAACAAACAAACAAACAAACAAACAAACAAATAAACAAATAAACAAATAAACAAATAAATAAATTCAAATTAGTATTTCGATGCTTTTTTGAACTTCATGCACTTTGTTTTGGTAACTTTCATGTTTAAATTGCTCCCCCCGGATAAATGAAAGCATACGCAAGTTTGTTTACTTTTTTGACCAGTCAGATTTACTATACTTAGAATCGAAAGTAGAATGGGATAAATAACCAGGGGGTCCTGGTTCATTAGGGTTATTTCTAGGTTAACCAGGAAAATTTTAACCAAGGTGTTTTGGTTTTGTTAACGCGTCGTTTAGCATTCGACTATTTTTGCAAGAATAATTAACAGTTATTCTACTAACTCGAGTCGAATATGAGCTGATAGCCGATGCCGGCGCGTAGCGCCGAATCGTCTATCGCTCATATTCGACGAGAGTGAGTGGAATAACTGTTTTATTATATACACAAGGTCTAAATTCTCTTACAATTGCGATTCGATATACTTTGTATTAATGAGACAAGACTTGATGAATCTATTAATGACTCCCAGGTTAAATTACCTGGCTATGATATTATTAGACGAGATAGAAATCGAATGGGTGATGGTGTAGCTATCTATATAAGAAACTGTATTCAATACATAATCAGAACCGATCTCAATCCTGAGAATGCAGGAGCTGTTTGTTTAGAAATTAAAAAACCAAACGTTAAACCTATATTAGGCCTATAGTTTCTACTTGATATCGCCCCCCCCTAATGCAAATTGCGAATTCTTTACTGATTTTGAAAATTTCTTAAAGAAAATAGATAATGAAAACAGTGAAATCGTGATAACGGGGGACTTCAATTGTGACTTAATCAAAACGGCCGATTACAATAACAATAACCCAAATAGGCTTAATAACCTCTTTGACATTTATCAACTACATGTACAACAACACATAAAGACGCCCACAAGAGCAACACCATCAACCAAAACACTATTAGATATTATAATCACCAAAAGCGACGACAGTAAAATAAGTGAATCTGGTGTAATTGAGCTACGAATAAGCGACCATAGTCCGCATTAGAAAATTTAAAAGAGGAGGTAGCCTATGGCTAAATGATAATATTAAGAAACTAAGTCACCACAGGGATTTTCTTAAAAAGAAAGCAATACAACTGAATTCCCCAGCCTATCATGAAGCGTACAAAAGATGCAAAAATCAAGTAACTACACTCGTTAGGGAAACAAAAGAATCGTATTATAAAACAAACTTAGAGAACTGCACAAATAATAGAGATGGTTGGAATTATATCAATGAACTGTTCAATAGGAAATCACAAACCACGATTATAAATGAAATTAAAGCTGATGAAAAAACTATTACAGGAAATCAGAACATAGCCAATGAATTTAACAAATTTTTTTGCGAGATTGGACCCAGACTCTGCGAAGACATACCACCAAATAACGATGACCCGTTGCAATATTTGACTCCTAATAAAGGTGAATTTTCTTTTAGAGCAATTTATGAAAGCGAACTAAATAAGGTATTACAGAGCTTAAAACTATCTAAAGCTTCCGGCCTAGATAAAATTTCAAATAAACTACTAAAAGCTGCTGGATACACCATAAATAAATCTTTATTATTTATTTTTAATTTAGCCCTATAGTTACTGGTATATTTCCTGATGAACTAAAGTAACCCCTATATATAAAGAAGGGGATAAAATTAACTGCAGAAACTATAGACTTATTTCGGTTCTACCAGTTATTGCCAAAATCTTGGAAAAACTTATTTATGACCAACTACGCGAATTTTTAAAGAGGGTCCTGAAGGGGTAAAATGGGAACTGGGATTGATCTATTTTTAGACTGGGAAAATGGGATTTGGGTTGCTGGGACTGGGATTTGGCCACTGGGAATGGGAAATGAAGTCCTCAAAAATGGGAATGGGATTGAGGTAATGCGAGTCGATTCCCAATTTTTCTGCGTTTTGAGTATTTTAAAATACAATTTTGATCCGTCTTTGGTGTCTTTGGTCATGATTTTTGTTGTTATAACTATATTATTCACAGCGCTACCTGCGAACAGGCATACTCTGGCGCCCGCAATTCTGGGTTTTCTGATTATGCGTGTCTCAGAATGCTGCAAATGCCATTTCCGGGATTCAAATTTAACGACGGCACGAACACCCCCATAATATTTCATAAAGTGTCCGCCACTTGCTTACTTAAAAGGTCTTGTTTATTCTACCAATAAATAAAGGGGTTTTTATTGACTGGGATTTCAATAACTGGGACTGGGATTTCTAATAAAAATCCAACTGGAACTGGGATTTTGCCAAAATTTCAGGTGGGAAATGGGATTGGGACCCCCCTTCAGGACCCTCTTTAAATGAAAACAATATCATTTCAAAACAACAATCAGTATTCCGTAAGCTTCACTCGACGGAAACGACCTTAGGGGCGGACCATTAGAAATCCCTGGAGGGGGGGGTATAAATTTTTTGCGGCACGAAGTTTTTTTTCAGTCTCATGTCCCTGCAGGATTTTTTTTTTTATTGCATTTAACCTCTGCACGAATTTTTTTTCAAGACTATTTGTACTTTGCTGTTTGCTTGCACGAATTTTTTTCCAGGCATTTTTTTTTGCACGAATTTTTTTGGGGGAATTTTCACCCCCCCCCCCTCCCGGGATTTCTAATGGTCCGCCCCTTACTGCAAATAACAGACAAGTGGTTGATGAATATTGACAAAGCCAAAGACTTAATTAACGGTGTATTATTGCTTGATCTTAAGAAAGCGTTTGATACGGTAAATCATCAAATTCTTTTATCTAAACTTGAAGTATATGGCATAACAAACCAGGCTCTTAGTCTTTTTAAATCATATTTAGATAACAGAATGCAGATCTGTATAGTAGAGGGAATAAAATCGGAGCCAAAAAAAGGTATATGTGGTGTTCCACAAACCTAGGAGCTTTGCTGTTTTCTCTCTACATAAATGATCTTCCTGTCTGCTAAATACTCAAGCTTCTATGTTTGCTGATGATACAAATCTGTCTACTTAAAATAAATGAGTAAAATTAATGAAGATCTACTTAATGTCAACTCTTGGTTAGTGGCAAATAAGCTGACCTTAAATATTAAAAAAACAGAGTTTATGCTTATAACATCAAAAAGGAAGCTGAAGCAATTTACTGAAACTCCGAATATTATAATTGGAAGGCATTCAATTATTAAGCAAGTAACAAATAAGAAAGTGTTAGGGGTTATTCTTGACGATGAGTTAATAAAATGGAATGAACACAATGACGAGCAGTGCAAAAAGATATCCAAATCTATTTGTTTATTAAAAAGATCAAGACGATATGTAAACCAAAATTCACTGATAAATATCTATAACTCGCTAGTCTTACCCCCACTTCACTTATTGTTCAAATGTATGGAATGATGGTAGTCGTACACATCTGAATAAACTTTACAAACTACAAAAGAGGGCTGCTCGTGTTATAACGGGTTCTAGTTATGATATTACGTCAAAGGAGATCTTTTCTCATTTAGAATGGGAACCGATTGAAAACATCCTAAAGAAAAGGGAAATATATAAAAGCATGACGTTTAAATCATTAACAAGACAACTACCAGAATATATATCAGACATGTTTACTATTACTAATAACGCCTGCACATATCGTCTTAGAAGCAACGATCGAAAACTACACTTAAATAAACCCAATACTGATTTCATGAAAAAGTCCTTCTCATATAGGGCAGCGTTTGCATGGAACAACTTGCCTTGTGATGTAGTTTCCGATTACGAATCTCTTTCTACTACAAGATTTAAGGTTACAGGACACCCTTTTTGGCGTTGTGCGGAAATCGCTACTGCGCGCTCAATATCAGTCCGATTTTCATCAAATTTTCACCAAATGTTCTCCAGTGCATGCAAAATATAGTAAAGTTGTAAAATTAACAAACAATAAAATAATGTAAGAATTATTCGGGAAAATCTTAAATCGCGGTACCGTTACGCTTTTGAGTTGTGCTCCTGCTGGTTTTAAGTTATATTTATGAAAATATCATTTTTATACAGTAAAATAGTTGTTCTAAAAAATCGTGTTTGGAAATTTTTGTTTATTTCGTCATTCCGCTGATATGGCGATTTCTTTGACGACTGCAATATATTTCTGAATTGTTTGAGTGAATTGCTCTTTATTTTTAAAATATCCAAAATTAAAAAAAGCCGAATACGATTTTGAAACTGACGTCTTTAGCTATATGTTTACCTGTGAAATTTGAGAAAAATTGGTTAAAACCCGCAGGGGCACAACTCGTTTGAAAATCAGTAATTACCGTAAACTTTTTCGGGAGAAAATTGAATTTGAATATTACATTTTCAATGTTTTTCTTATTGCAGCGAAATGTACTTTATTAAATAATAAAATAACTCTGCAAGTTTTCAACATTTTTCGTTCAAACTTGGTCAGATAGTAGAACTAGTCTATTAATGCTTTCATGGAAACCAATAAAAAAATTTTAGGCAAAATTAACACTCAAAGGTGTTCTGTAACCTTAAAAATTTAATTAATAACTATTTCAAGAATTTGGAAGATTGCAATTGACAATATCTTCAAGACAATACTGTAAGTCATTTCATGACACTTGTTTGAGTTTTGCAATTGGAGTTTGGGCCTGTGCATATATCGATTTATAAAACTTGCATGATTGTTTTGTTTGTGTATAATATTTTTGTAAATAGAAACGACCCCTTGAAAATAAGACTTACTGAAGGGTTACCGTTTTAAAATATTTGTAAATAAATAAATAAATAAATAAAGCGAACAACTTGCCGTTTTCTCGTTTGCAAAACGTCGGAAGTTCAGTTTGAGCCGCCATTTTGTTTTTCTCTACTAGCAGGATATGAGCTAATATCCTGCTCGTAGAGAACCAATCAGATTGCAGAATACCTCATATCCAGACCTTGTGCATATAATATTATAAAATAACATGTACATAACGCGTATTCTGATTGGTCGAAACCCGTGTTTGGATCAGGCCATCCAAACACGGAAGGCTATCGTGTTGTTGTTATTTTATAAAACAATTACTTTATGGTTTCCGTGTTTGGATGGAATGATCCAAACACTTGGGAATGTTGCTCGAGTTAAGAAAAGCGGGCAAAATCACTCGCCTTCGGCTCGTGATTTCGCTCGCTTTTCTTAACCCTCGCAACATTCCCGCGTGTTTGGATCAGGCCATCCAAACACGGAAACCATAAAGTAATTGTATAATACTTATAGATATCCATGTTTCGTACACGTTGTTGCAATTTTGTTCATTTTGCTCATATACCACATGTCTGTAATTATGTGAAAACCAGCTAATTATTTTTGCCGAAAGATGTACGAGGATGAGTTAACGAATGCAATTTTAAAATATTCCAAACTAAAGAACAGTAACGAAATAATGACTCCGACACAAATTGCAAGAAATAATCCACTCAAATCAGCGATAGACAATCTCGCAAACATCGCATTTTCATCATCATTGTTTATAGAACTGCACTGTCCCAAGAACCATCGATGTCTCAATGTCCGCGATATATCATAATCTTCATATTGAATCAACACTTGAGATATCTTTGTACTGAGCGACGAATTCTTTCGTACGGCTAGACCAAATCCCGACTGAAAGAACGACTTTCCAACAATTTTGAACGAACAGTCTCGACTTTTAGCAGCGAAATTTTCAAGTGTCGGATAATCTGACACGAAGGCTTGAAGCTTCCTAAAACATTAAAATATGGACATGTGAGCTGCATTTCATTCATGTAAGGGTCGGTAAATACGAGACATCAAGCCTATAGCTACCTAACATTTGGTGTAGAGCATTTTAAACTGCTTATATAACCTCTCTGGTTGTGGCGTAGGCTATATAATGAAAACCTGCATGATCTAGTGGTTATATGTGGTTATGCCGTAAGTTAAAAACAAGTTAAGCCCGGAGAGTCGAGTATTAAATTCGAATTCAAATGATAACTTTCTTTGTTTGTAATATGAAACAAAACATGCTCTGAATAAAAGCATGTTTAATTCATAGTTTTTAAAGTTGTCGGTTGTAGGCCCCTAGGTGTTTGTGACATCCATGACTGTGACTGATTTTTATACGCGATTCCTTTCAAACTTTGCAATTATTGCTGTCGATCGCACCGAAGTAGCCAACTATATTTAGCGTGGGTTCGTACAAGTCTAGGGCCTGTTTTATATACGTTGAATCGTGGTGGCGTCGAATGCAATTCAAACAATAGAAAATGAGATTATAAACCTCATTAAGCTTCATTATCTATTGTTTGAATTGCATTCGACGCGACCGAAATTCGACGTATAAAACAGTCTGGCATAAATTTAGCACAATCTATACATTCTTGCGAATCTTGGATTTGTTTCAGTTTGTCGGATGTTCGGATATTTTGTGCTAATTGCACTAATTCCGATTTAGCGAACGCGGTATCAAAAATTAGATAAAATAGCATTAAATGGTATTCTTGAAAAAGCAACACAGATAAAACATTTTGTTCATTTCTTCAAAGTTTTATCAATTACGGGCATTCCTGGAGAAAGCAATGTTCTTCGTTACGTTATCAGCAACATAAATGGCCCATTCCTAGCTCGTTCCATCAAATTCGAAGCAGCACTTTTCTTGCAATATATTGCAGGTAGCTCCTATCTAACTTTCCAGTACGTGGTTTTCAGCTCAAACATTCGCTTTTTAAATTTTGAAAATTAACCGTTACTGCGCATGATCGTGAAATTCGCAGTGTTCACTATATACGCAGGGAGAAACTTACCCGGCATTCATTTGTTTTATTGCTTCAGAAAAGTCTTTTACACTGTTGTGTTTCATATGTTGCCAAATTCTGCTCATCATGGGATCATCAGTAGCTTGGAAAAACCTTTCAAAACTTGAGTCTTGGGCAGTTCCAATACGAAAACCACTAGGTGGATTCTGAAGCTAAAATATATTAAGTCAAACGTTAATATTTGCAGATTGCCACGTATACATTATGCAAATTGCTATAATTTTGGTCTGGCTTCTTTTCTGAACGAAAACTCATTAGTTTAGTCTTGGATCGTCAGTTCTCAGAGGTTTTTACAGAGCGAAGGAAACGCAGATGATCTCGTGCCTTTTTCCAGTACCTCCTCTGAGAAGCTAGGAGGCTTGATCCATCTTATTTAGTATAGTCAAATAACGAAAGATTTACTTTTTTGCTTTGAATCCATCAATGCTTTAATAAACTAATGCGCCGTTCAACTGACTGATTCACTGGATATAACACAAAAAGTAACTACGGAATATAAAAAGTTGCAAATTGCAGCACAGATAATTGGCACACTTTAATTTCTTGCTAATCGGCATTCTTTTTTTTTAAATCTCCTTAACATACACATAAAAGAACTATCTAACATCTGTACCTTCAGATCGCGTATTCCAAGATCATTTAGTGGTAGTATTTCCTCTTCTACCACAAGAAAAGCGGCTAAGTTTGCTGTATAGCTTGTGATCACAATTAACATACTGAACGCAAAAGATAAAGCCAAAATACGGCAAGCCAAACTTTTCGGCTTGGAACCAACATCGAAAGTTTGAAAAACCAGACTCCATGTAAACCAGATAGTTTGAACAAAATCGAAAGAATACTCTTTACTCTCTTTCAAAACCTTTCCACGTTCCAACCGACCATAAGGACTATACCTCTCTAATAGCCACATAATAATCAGTGCAGTGTTGACACATACAATAAGAGCAATCCACAATTTTGCATCAAAAGGATCCATGAAACCAGTCCAGTTACTTTTACCACGACGAGCCACCTTTACTAAAACAGCCATGCCTGCATCCATATATGGATGTGTGAAGTCGACTACCTTCGAACGTTGTTCATTGATAGTAAGATCTGAAACGGCGATATCTGCCTCACGGCGGTCAACCTCACCTATCAGTCCTGACCATTGCCCTGTTGTATGATTCAATGCACCATATTTTCCATCCTTAACTACTTCAATTCTGACTGAAAATCCAACATCTCTCATGAGTAATTTCAACAGATCAATACAATAGCCAGTACAGCATGAATATGTCCCATCAAGTCCCACACAAGGCCAGCCTAACGCACAAGTTTCGTCCGAGTCGTTCTGAGCAGGGTTTTTGTTCATTATAACATACGGCTCTTGTAAGTAAACTGAAATCCTCAATGGTATATTTTTTGCAAGTTTTAATTCCAGAACATCTAGCGTTTTCTCTACAGGTGGCCAGCCTGTATGGTTTACAGTCAGTTTGTTGTTATGGAATTCGGCTAAAAGCATTCTAATGGTGGTCCCATTTTCATCTTTGCACCAGTAGTCGATATCATATTCCGCATTAGTGCGGTAACCTTGATCATTAAATTGTACCCAGCCTGTGTACCCTTCAAACTGAACATTCTCCATAGCCCTATAAGAGTAAAAACGTTTTTTCTTACGCCTGTAAAGAGGCGAATCACATATTGTGAAAATTGTATTTAAAGATCAGGTATAGGTCTACTATATCAGTCGGTGGACGGCTAAAAAAGGTGTACACAAAAGTTGACAGTTTTAATTTCAGATAGGGAAAACTTTCAATTGATATTGATATCAGTGGCGTAGCCAGCCCGACAATTGAGTCCCGCTATGCAAATTCAAAATTATTACATTATTAATTTCTTTAGAAATTGATTGTTTTCACAGTCAATGAACATGGAAATATTTGCATAGCGGGACTAAATAGTCGGGCTGGCTACGCTACTGATTGATATAATGTTCATTAACACTAAAATTACTGACAATGCATGGTGATTAAATTTACGATCATGCCAAAATGGCTGTTTTTTCTAACCACAGGAATTCATATCGGAAATGTTCACAATAATATTGGTGACTAAGCCATCTACATATATATGGCTATAACAAGGAACAACGCAAGAGATTTTTGGTGACAATAATCGACATCACGACCGAAAGCCGTCAATTAATTCAGTTAAAGGGTTCAGCAATGATTGATTATGCTTGGTGAATATGTAATGATAAGGAGCTGAAGATAGAATTACCAGATGCAAGGAAAGAAACTGAAATGTTCAATACAATAGGCTTTCAATTGATGCACATTCCAAATGAAGTATACAAAATTAATCCCTTAAATACCTATAGAGTGACCTTCCCAACAGCCAACGGTTTGAAGATCTGCAATCTTTTGGTAACGAAGAAATCTCAAAATCTGTATTGCTTATATTTTGCAATGTCTTTTCCAGAATTTTGATAGAATCTTTCATCAATGCGTTTCGCCAAGCATGTGACCTATTGTCGTTAAAGTGATCGTGAGATAATCGTATTCCAAGAAGTTTTCCCAAGAGTGGTATCCGCCTGTTTCCATCAAGAGGATGTTCTAAAATCCATATACAATCAATGTCTACGAACCCAAATTCTTCAGCTGCACTCATTAAATCTAAGGCCAAATTTTGTTTCAATGAGAGAACAACGGTTCTTATATTTAAAGCTAGCATTATGCTTAAAATCTCATAATAGTTTTTCGTTATAGTGAGATTTAAAAACACATCGTTGATTGAACTGCTAGTTGAACGTAACAATCCAAGAATCTTAAACGCCCAATCTGATTGTTTTTCATGAGAAACTACAACCACTCGGTCATTCCTCTTGTATTTTTTCAAAATTTCATTAATGATGACAAGTTTTGAACTTGGATCTGGGTCCAGGTGAAGAACAGTGCTTTGTTCCTGCAAATATATCGAAAACAGATTAAGAAACTTGATTTTAAAGTGTTTGTGAAACAAACTTTAATACATGCGTTAATATAAGTAACCCTCAAATCATGAGCGTAGTAGGAAGCTTCAGAAACTCATAGCGGGACTTTTCAGTCTGCCAGATCGTCGAAAATGGTATTATCAGGGACTTCTCTACTTCCCTCGTTACGGCTTCATTATATATGATTTATCATGAGTCTATGCCATGCCAGATGGGCCAGCCGTGAGTCAGGATGGAATATCATCATTAGTTGGTCATCAGCGCAAATTTTTTTGTTTCAAGCGACCGTATATTAGTGTGTGTAAACGTTTTTGTTCAGAAAAGTTGCCTGCCTTAGGACATAATACTATATGACAATACATTGACGTAAATATCCGAATCTGCAAGCAAAGTAAGACAAACTTTAGTTATACGCATTTTTAAGTGTTTAGCCGAGCATTTTTAAGTGAATACATATATTTGTTGGGCTGCCTATGATCTAGGTTTCATATTGGACAATTCTTTCTTATTTTATATCAATAATCTATGCCACAGATGAAATACCGTGGCCTCAAAAGCATGCAAGTGCATGCTATTGACGCCATTTATCTACCGTTTTATGCCCATTGCCATGATTGTACTTATTTAGTTCTTATACATCCATGCATATTTAAATAGTGCTTTGTTATAAGGCGTTAAAAAGTTCATTACGCTGCATGATGTAGGTTTAACGCTGCAACACTCAGTGCCAAAATAGAAACACAAAATTTTACATGCAGGTCTAAATAACCCATTACTCATTAGGCATTACTCATTTACAAAATAAGAATACTTTTCCATCATGAATTAAAGTTCAATCGTTTGGTAAACTAGAGCTAATTCATTGTTTCCCGTTTGCCTAACCCAGAAAATATTGTTGCGAAAATCAGAATGGTTTCCATGCAGGAGGCAAAAATATTCCCTGCTAGTTTCATAAAATATCCTAACTTGGTTTGGAAAACATATACAAAAGATTTTCGCATTCAAACACGACATAATAATTATCCAGAACAAATACCATGCAGTAAACAATGAAGCAAATTATCGTAAAATAGCATAGCATTTGAGCTAACGTTTCGTTTCTACATTTTTTACACCCATTCCATGAATATTTAGAAAGTGCTTTGTTACACGGTATTAAAAAAGTTCATGCATTAGACACAAGTGTATAGGAAATTTCATTATTGCTTTATTCCACAATGGTCAATGCAGTTTCTATGGTTGGACAAACGAAGAAATATTCGAAAAAACATTTAAATTTTCAAATCCTTCCGCAACAGCTAGCAGCTAGAGGCTAGAGTTTTAAATTTACTAAACTGAAACAAACATTCAACTTATTAACACAACAACAGAAATATTGTTTAGTTAACATTCAGATTCTGAAACGCTTGAGAATTGTACTAAAACACCTAAATTCGAAAGAAAGTCGAATTTTAACTTTGTTATATATTAATATATATATATATATACAAGTTTTTATAACCATCGAAACCAAATCTTATAAATAAATTTACCACCAAAATAATAAGTATAACGTTAACGAACCTGCTCAACAACTCGCCGTTCATAGGCGCTGTGAAATAATTTTATGACAGGGATAGCCACGTAACTTGCGTAGACATCAAGAAGTTTAGGATATAAAGAAGTATCTTCAGAGATAATCACAGAAACTCCAGTATTCTTTACAATCCTGCAAAACTTATCCAACATTCCCTTGTATGACTCCCCTCCACTTTTCAAGACTGTGAAATTAACACTAAGGCCGACAGTGATGTTTTCCAAGGGAACATATCCGAACAAACTGCTGTTCTCGAGTGCTTCTTCTTCTCGGACGATGACAACTTGAATTGTGTTTGAAATTATAGGTTGGCTTTGCCATAAACAAGCAAATACGAAAACAACAAAAAGATACGTCATTATGCGTTGCATGTAGTTTTATAGCGAGAAAAATAAATGAGTCGTGACAAGTAGCTGGTCCTGCTTTTGAACTGCAACATTTTCTATGCATAAATTCCAAATTCAGCTGTTTTGAACTTGCTTTTTAATCTCCCACAAGCTGCGACGGATTGAATCCCTACCTGTGCGCTATATAAAAGTATATTAATGCCATTTTAACGTCATGCAGCGATTTGATACAATAATTACAAAAATAACGATTAATGTTGTTATGTTATATATATATATATAGATGCCGTATGTGGAGGGAGTGTTATTTTTAAATTTTTATTTCAAAGATCTTCAATAATTAACACAGGACGAAATTACCAATTTAATAACCTTTAGAAGTAAGGCAGGGTTAATCAACATTTTATTTAAAGGTATATTAATGCAATACTCACATTTATAAGTAAAATTTTAAAGTTGAACAAAAATTGAATATTTTTCCTGTGTAAAAGACCTGTCTATATTTAATTAATTTGCATCCAGCGCAGTTTTGGCCACACTGCAGCAAATATCACTTTATTAAGTTAAGTTATACTTGAAAAAAATGCATTTGGGACATGCGTTGGGACGTCCTGCCACTTCAATCGTATTGTAACGTACCGTAGCATTCTATTTTGTGTCATTAGTTCCACACTACCGCTCATGCAAAAAACAAAGAAATTAAAAATATGCTACGTTTCGATACAATACGGTTGAATTATAAGATCATTATATTTCTATATATAAGTAGGGAATTAAGGCCGTTTTTCACTTCAATCATATTGTATCGGATCATAGCATCACGACATTAGTTCCATTCTAGTACTCAGGAAACAAAGAAATACTCTTCACTTCGGTACGATACAGTTGAAGTGGAAAATGGCCTTTGGGCATCACGATATTCTATAGTTATTTAAATTACACCACGTCATAAGTCTACATGACTAACATGACTGCCATTAAAAAGTACGTTTCCCCCATATAGATTAACAAGAATATAATAATTTACACAACAAAGTTTAATAGGTAATAAAGATATTTAAAATCAAGTATTCTAACAGAAAAAGAAATAGTTAAACAAACATATCCCGAAAATTATTATACAAAATTTACAAAAAAGTACAGAACTGTTTTAAATTAATTTCAAAAACTCATTAATAATTCATGAAGCAATTATCCAATCTTGAGTAAGAAATTAGTCATGTGCATACGTCTTTATACCAGCTAAAGAACACTTTAACAAAAGACCATTGTTATGCAAACTATATAAAGATTTTTATATAAAGATTTTTATATAAAGATTTTTATATAAAGATTTGACTTATTATGCATACGTTTTTGAAGTCATTTAAAAAACTCGCGAGTCGTGTTTTATTAGGTCTAAAGCCACTCGCGCTGCGCGCTCGTGGCTTTAAACCTAATAAAACACTCCCGCTCGTTTTTCAAATAGTACATAAAGAGAGTAATCACAATTAATATTTGTTATGATTGAAGTATTATCAATTGCAATTAAGGATTTCTTTTTAAAATTGTTTTTGAAGATCGCGAAGAATTTGATAGATTTCAAATTAGTTTCAAGCACACTGCAAAAAATCCTGAGTAAAATGTACTCAAAACCATGAGTAAATGAATGCACCCATAGTGACACATAATAGTGAGTAAAACTAACTCATAAACGCGAGTAACAGTTACTCACATTTTCGAGTGAATCTCACTCAAAAAACTGAGTTAAAACTACTCAAAGTACACACATGCATATAGTTGATAAATTACTCAAACTTTGAGTAAATGTTACTCAAAACTGGAGTAATTTTACTCAAAAGATGAGTTGTAGTTACTCAAAAAAAATGCACCCATACCGCCTCTTTATTTTGAGTAAATGTAAAGATTACTCAAACTTTGAGTAAATGTTACTCAAAACTGGAGTAATTTTACTCAAAAAATGAGTTCTAGTTACTCAAAAAAAATGCACCCATACCGCCTCTTTATTTTGAGTAAATGTAAAGATTACTCAAACTTTGAGTAAATGTTACTCAAAACCGGAGTAATTGTACTCGAAAAAGAGTTCTAGTTACTCAAATAAAATGTATGCCTAGTGACTCCTCATTTGGAGTAAATGTAAAGATTACTCAAACTTTGAGTAAATGTTACTCAAAACTGGAGTAATTTTACTCAAAAAAGAGTTCTAGTTACTCAACTAAAATGTACCCATACTGACTCCTTATTTCGAGTAAATGTAAAGATTACTCAAACTTTGAGTGAGCGTTTCTCAAAGCTTCAGATTTATCTACATATACCTCTATATAGAAAATTTCAGTTACTATAATGCAACAAATACACGTACAGACAAAACCAAGAGTAAACACAGACAATATTTGGTGACTAAATGTTATAATTAATTAATAATCGTTAAAAATCCACAATGGACAGTCAATACACAATAAAATCTGTCTGCATGCATGGAGCTGGTAAATAACGCTGCAGCAGACTGATATCGAGAAATCAGCAAACCGCTCTATAGTGTAAAATACTGGCCATTTTGGAGGACGAGTATGCAGTCCAGTTTATATATATATGCCAGCTGTCTTCTTATACACATGAATGGTTAAATTCACCTTAATACAACACCTAACAGATTGTTTATTTCTGTAAAATAATTTGGAAATATTTTTATAGAAATTTTATTCGGATTATATAACACAGAGCATGAAAAGCTTGGGTTTACTGTGGCCGGGCTAAAACAAATGTGTGACCATTGAGTGTGTGACTGAATCTGAACTTAACCTTTCATGTGTATATAAATCGTCCACAAAAATTAAAAGTCTTGAAAAAAGATTATGAATGAATGATCGATCAATTATTAAAGTATTCATGCAAGTTTCATTGTTTCAACTTCAAGGTTTAATCAAGGTATTAAAGAGAACAGTCTTCTATAAAATTATATCTGTATACTTATATAATGTTTAAAATAGTTATTGTAAATTATGTTCCTAGCATATTAGTCAATCTATAGTTGGCCATCGAGTCCAGTTTATTGACGAAGCTAATAACTGAAGCTGGCAGCTTCTTGCCATCGTTGATGTTCAACACACACTTTTGCAAGAACAAACAGAAATTATTCAAGGTACCTGCGTACTCGAACATAAAAACATAATTTACAGCCATAAATACCACAGCTCTTGACAGCTGCGTCCACCACCCACTCTTGAAACGTGAAAAGGACCATCTTTTCTGCTACAATAGCCGTCTCCTCCCAATCATCGGGGTCTCCCTTAATGACTATTTTCGGGCTTACTTCGTTCGCACTCTCGGCAGCATCTTCAAAGCTTTCATCCTCCTATCAAAAATAGAAGTGTATATTTAAAAAGAGATTACATGCACATTTAATTTCTATTTACCTGCCTGAAGTATATATACAACACAAAATACATCATCATTAATTAATATTCTATTTCCATGCATCCATGTGCTTCCATTTAATAGATTCATTCAATTCTTATAGCTGTACAGCAAGTACACTGTATGTGTAGCAAACACATATTATTTACTCTTGATTTCAATTTGCTTTTGTAATCTGACTTCGAATGTTTGTTTGTAAGTTCAGAATGTTCGTTGCAATGTTATGAGTTCCAGTTCCGATGATTTACGATGATTCAATAGCTAAGCAATTTGATTGGCTTGACATATTTAACTAGCCAATCAGAACTTAGCAAAGCTCGATACATTGTAAATCATCGGAACAAATTCGAGAACAACTTTTGAACTTTGCAGCGAACATTCCGAACTTACAAACAAAAATTTGAAGTCAGATTACAAAAGCAAATTGAAATCGAGAGTAAAGGCCGTATAAACTCTGTAATGTACATGTAAACAAACACTTTGTTTACATTTTGAATTCAGTGCCATATTTGTAAAATATGATATACTGAGTTAATTCTGGTTCGCTATGCTTGTATAACAGTACAAACTATAAGAGTAAAACTAGAGTTTCAATTCAAGAAAGTTTGAAAGTTGCGAAATATTATCAACAGTCCAATGGTAGGCCTGTGCAGAACGTATGTGCGGAACAGACTTTACATGGTCCTTTAAGCTGCTGCAGCAGACATCCACTGCAACAACAAATTTATAATTCTTATTAATGATTACTTACAGGGATATATTGCACAAAGTCGCTCTGACAACCCTTTCCTGCTTTCAGCTTCTGGAGCAATGGCAAAACCAGCATTGCAATGTCCAGAGTTTCGTCTAAAACAAAGTAAATAAACATTTAGGTAATTAATATTCTGTTTAATCGTAGCATGTATAGTTTCTTAATGTTGTATTTTACCATAGGTGGCACATTAAACTTACTGTTGATAGTTTCCATCTCTTCCCATGCATGCCTATTATAGTTTCCATCTCTTCCCATGGGAGCCTATTATCTTCTCAACCATGTTAAAGAGGTTCTGATAAAAGTGCTGTTGTTCTGTCAGGGAGCTATTCTGGGGAGCTATTCAGGTGTCTCAAACAAGTGCCATGAACCGGAGTGATTTGTTGCTCAAGGGTGGAAAAATTGAAAATCATCAGTGCAGAATGAAAAGGTTTACATCTAATTGCATCCCCTTTCATGAGCAGCTGGTTTTAACATGCAGGTTAAAGGCGGCATACACAACTGTCACAACAACAGGAAACTGCATCGACATGAATGTATACAAGCCTTAAATAGGCGGCAAGTGCCGGCCTTACACAAAAGCTGAAAAACAGCAATACTGAGGTCAAAATTCAAAGCAAACTGTACTGTTATTTAAGTTTGTTGCCAATTACAAACCTCATGTTTTCAGTTATTTTACTTCTAAATTTTGGTTAAAATGAGTAGAAATAATAGAATGCAGTAAATAAGGCAGTAAATAATGCAGGAAAAATTAAAAATCATTAGCACAGAAGGTATACAGCCATGCATCTCCCCTTTCATGAGCGGCTTGCTTTCACATGCCACTCAAAAGAGGTGCTGGTAAAAGGCAGCATAACTGCCTTACACAACAACAGAAAACTGCATCAACATGAATGTATACAAGCCTTAAATTCTGTCTCAGTAGTTCTCACTGACAGGCGGCTCTGGAATGTGCCACCTGAGTGAGCTATTGGTTAAAGGCGGCAAGTGCCGGCCTTACGCAAAAGCTGAAAAACAGCAATACTGAGGTCAAAATTCAAGACAAACTGTACTGTTATTTAAGTTTGTTACCTATTACAAACTGCATGTTTTCAGTTATTTTATTTCTAAATTTTGGTTAAAATGAGTAGAAATAATAGAATACAGTAAATAAATAGGCCTTGCAAACCAGTTGCTCTATTTTGAGCAGGAAAAATTAAAAATCATTAGCACAGAAGGTATACAGTCATGCATCTCCCCTTTCATGAGCGGCTTGCTTTCACATGCCACTCAAAAGAGGTGCTGGTAAAAGGCAGCATAACTGCCTTACACAACAACAGAAAACTGCATCAACATGAATGTATACAAGCCTTAAATTCTGTCTCAGTAGTTCTCACTGACAGGCGGCTCTGGAATGTGCCACCTGAGTGAGCTATTGGTTAAAGGCGGCAAGTGCCGGCCTTACACAAAAGCTGAAAAACAGCAATACTGAGGTCAAAATTCAAGACAAACTGTACTGTTATTTAAGTTTGTTGCCAATTACAAACTGCATGTTTTCAGTTATTTTATTTCTAATTTTTGGTTAAAATGAGTAGAAATAATAGAATACAGTAAATAAATAGTACCCTTGCAAACCAGTTGCTCTATTTTGAGCAGGAAAAATTAAAAATCATTAGCACAGAAGGTATACAGCCATGCATCTCCCCTTTCATGAGCGGCTTGCTTTCACATGCCACTCAAAAGAGGTGCTGGTAAAAGGCAGCATAACTACCTTACACAACAACAGAAAACTGCATCAACATGAATGTATACAAGCCTTAAATTATGTCTCAGTAGTTCTCACTGACAGGCGGCTCTGGAATGTGCCACCTGAGTGAGCTATTGGTTAAAGGCGGCAAGTGCCGGCCTTACACAAAAGCTGAAAAACAGCAATACTGAGGTCAAAATTCAAGACAAACTGTACTGTTATTTAAGTTTGTTGCCAATTACAAACTGCATGTTTTCAGTTATTTTATTTCTAAATTTTGGTTAAAATGAGTAGAAATAATAGAATACAGTAAATAAATAGTACCCTTGCAAACCAGTTGCTCTATTTTGAGCAGGAAAAATTAAAAATTGTCAGCACAGAAAGTGTACAACCATGCAACCTTTAAAACGGGGTTTTTCTACAGGTTTCTTAGAAAAATCCTGTTTTAAAGTGAATTGAAATACATTATATAATTAAAATAATTTTTGTTTAATAACATAAGGCTTATAACTAATATTTAATACTTAGTGATTGAGTTAATCTTTATTGAATTATTGAACTACAATGTCAAAAAGAAGCACAATGGTCAATGCCCAAAGAGAAGTACGTGGCATTAGCGCGAAAACATAAAACATCTTTGTTGTCATGTCGTCAGTCCCCCCCCCCCCAAAAAAAAATTGCATCAGAAAACACACTATAATACTACCTATACAATCCTATTGGCTATTTCTTAGTTTTCTCTTGACTATTATAATCATCATTACAGAAGATAGCTATACATGTGCATTCCCCCTAAGAGTATTAGGCTAAGACAAAAGCTGGTTGAAAAAACCCAATGCGCAATGACAATATTCAAGATGTAAAACTTCTAGAATTATACTTTCAGGCAGAAACTACTGTGCTATTGCTGCAATTAACACTCAAACAGATGAAAGTAAAACCAACCTTGATCCTTCAGATTCTGGTGTTGCCGTTGGGCTTCTAGGCTGTTCTTGCATTGCTGTGGATGTGCACTGGTTGTCAGGATTATTTACGTCATCTTCAATGAGTGTAGCCGGAGGTGTTGTAGCCTCCAAAGGTTTGGGCGCTTGGGGTTGGCAGTTTTTGTAAGAAATTCATTCGTGGCCCTATTGATGGAACTAACAATTCTAATGCTCGTTCAGTGAGACCTATAAGGGCAGGTCCATCAATTATATTATCTAAAAAATAAATTGTTGTCATCTGAGACTGAACTCACAAAACTTAATTTTACCGAACAGCCAAACAGGCGACCAGCGAGGCAACTTGATTAAAGAAAGGATTTTGCGCGCAAACACCATAGTCTATATTTTGTAATAAACTTTAAAAGTAAATGTTACGTAAGTATGTGGGGAAATTTTCAGGTCGATATGGTGTTATTTCGAGTCATTTATCAGGCCAAACACACACCGAAAAACGCGACGAGCACCCTGGCGTGGCGCGAGAGGAAATAGAACAATGAAGGAAAGTTAGAATATATGTAGACACAATAACCCAATATATTACAGCGTAACTAAATATTTTAAACAGGATGAACGTTACCTGTAAATTAAATCGAAAAACAGCGTCGCGTACTTGCAAAACGTGCATGTAAACGCCATAAGTTATAACTCTGTTTGTCGGCGACCAACTGAAAATATGATATCATGCGCTTTCAAATGAAAACATACCTTTAAAACACTGGCAATAGTCCTCGAAGCCAACTTTAATAAGCCACGATTGAACGTATTCTTTTGATTTTACCATCTTCAATACAATTGAACGATAATTCTTCAGTTTTGCTCTACGCAAAGGAGATAACTTGGCTGTCTTACTATACCGGCTGCACTGAATGATCGATAAAAAATATATAGGATGTAATTTGACTATGGCGCGTTAACCGCCTGTGTGGATTTTGCGGTCGATGATTGGTTACTCATGATGAAATGACGTTTTTAATAAAAACAATTTCGGCACTGTCCTAAATACAATGCCGAGCAGACAACTCCCACATCCTGTATGCATCCTGTTATAATTCTAAATCTCATTAGAGGATTAGTAGAGGATTAGTCATAAGTGTGACAAAATGTGGGTGTATATATTGCTAGATCCCGAAATAAATAAAAATGCAACAGATTTTGCTACCTTTAAATCCAGAATTATTGTAACGTAGGAGTATGACATTTACATAATTGCAAATAAAGTGCAAGACTATATTGAACTGGCCAAGATTTAGTGTCTTTTACGTGCCCTATAAAACTATTTTTCGAATTTGCTTCTAGTCTAGATTTCTAAATTCCCCCTAACTGGAAAACTACTCAGACTCAGTCTGGCAAATTGCGATCTGCAATATTTTTACTATTAGCCGCTTTCCAGTCATATATTACTCTTTAAGTTTAAATGTTACTAATTATAAAGCTAAGCTGATAACTGAATAAAAATACACTACTACAGTTTTAATTAATGGTTAAAATGAATATGTAAGTAAATGTATGCGAGTAAATTATACTCATCATTTAGAGTAGAAAAGTTGGTCGGTTATTACTCAATATTTGAGGGTTTTTTTACTCAAAAAATTGAGTTGGTGAAGTTTACTCTACTCTTGAGTAAAAATAAATTTTGTCATTACTCAGAGCTGAGTAAAGTATACTCATTGTCTTGAGTGGTCAATACTCAAATGATCTTACTCAAAATACAGAGTTGTTGTTTACTCAATTTAAGAGTAAATTTCGTAATTTACGCAGCAGTGAGTAAATTACTCAATATAAGAGTAAATTTTGTCGTTTACGCAGCAGTGAGTAAATAATACTCATCGTCGTGAGTAGAGTTGTTCGTCAGTTTTTACTCAAAATTTGAGTAATTTTTTTGTTTACTCAAAAAAGAGTAAAAAAAATGCTTTTACTCAAACAATTGAGTTGGTGATGTTTACTCCACTTTTGAGTAAAATTAATTTCGTCATTTACTCAGTGCTGAGTAAATTATACTCATTGTCTTGAGTGATAGTTACTCAAATTATTTTACTCAAAATACAGAGTTGTTGTTTACACAAGTTTAAGAGTAAAAGTATTTTAACATAAAGAAGGAGTAACATTTACTCAAATTATTGGGTAATTGTTGCAATAACTCATAAAATGAGTAACATTTACTCATGCATTTTTTGCAGTGCAGATTCCAAATATCAGCCCCTTTCACCTTTACTACAAATTTAAAGGTATAGTATTCATAATTCGTTCTTTCATACGTTTTGTGAATCTTGATTATTGGAAGCATTTCTTGTTTTGAAATTATGAATATCGCCATTATTAAAGTATTTAAAGAATAAATTGTCAAATATGATTGGGAAGTGTTTTGTGTTATGATTACGAAACATGAACAATACTCAATAGTAAATAATGATTGACTTTCGGATTCACTGTGTCTGTGATTAAAATGCAGTTTAAATGCATGACATTAATCATTATATAAGCGGACAAGTTTTTTCAATACTTATTAACCTCTGAATCCGCTAAGTATATAAGTATTTCCACTACACTAGATTGCCATATGTCAAATATAGATAGACCAAAGAGTGAAGGCGAAAAGCATAATATACAGTTAGAGTATTTAAATTTGCATAAACATAGTGCCGAATTTTGACTATTAATTTTAAGCTGATTTAGTTTTTTTTGAAACTGAGTCTATGTCGACTGTGTGATTTTTCTACGTTAGATTTTCGTAATTTCGTAAATAATAACCCCCAAAAATGTTATACCCTTTACTTGCTCAATCAATTAGTTTGTTGTTTAGGACAAATCTATTGTTACGTACGTTATGATTTAGTTTTTTTTCCAGAGGATTTAAATAAAATAAACTTGATAATTTGTTTACAATTAACCACAATCAGATATTTTGTTTTAATTATTTCTTTTTGCATAATATGGTAACATGGAAAACACGGAGTCGGAGTGCCGGAGTCATAAAAATATGGAAAACACGGAGTCATATGGAAAACACAGTGTCTGACGTCAGAGAAAAATATGGAAAACACGGGGTCTGACGTATTGTCATTGTGAAATATGAAAAACAGTATTAAATTAAATCATAAATAATGAATACAAATATATAAACAAACGAACGAATTTCTGGTTATTTCTCTAAAATGCAGTGAAAATATTGATTGCATGCATGTTTTAAATAAAATCAAGCAAGTGATATCGTTTCTCCATAATTCATGCAGTTAATACTGTATAGGAGGCGATAACATCTTGAATGTTCGGTGTCATAAAGATAGAGCAAACTTTGACATTTTGGACATGCCTTTTATGCTCATAACATCATGAACCTAGCAACATGGCAAGTCAACCCTGGTACCCGGCTTGCTTGGGTAAGGCAAGGTGCAGAATTTGATATTATTTCCTCTTTTTATTATACAGTATACATGACAAAATTACTGCAATTCCAGGAGTGCAATTAATGATTTGAAAAAAACAAAATGGTGGCTCGCTTTACAAATACAAACGAGACTACAATTCACTTGCTTAGAACAAAAGCAGCAAATTAGAATACACAAGAAAGCACTGACCTAAAACTCTCTTGCTGAACTTTCAATACCCTAAACTTGATTAAGAACTTTGCGATGCGTTTTATATCGCTGCTTCGCTTGGATCACGGTTATTAATAGTTGAACTTCACATCAATCTTAAACCAATTATTGTTAAGGAAAACGTTTATAGTTCTCTGCATTCACGTGATATCAGTACCGGGGGGATAGCTATAATCATGAATATAATAAATAAATAATTCGGCGGCTCGTGCAATTTTTGCACATTTTTTCGTAGTGTAAATCATTAATTGCACTAGCACTCCTTCCCGTATAATCACCCATACAAATTTCACATTGCATTAATCTGGGAACCAAGTTGGCCTGCCTACGCAAGATTCTGCTTTAAATGACCCGAGGTCAGGCTGGCCATCTATCTGGTCAAAGTGTATGACAATAATGTATAACCATAGCCAGCAATGTATGCTGGGAACGCGGGAAAAAAGAAAGTCGGCCATATTTGTAAAAGCGTTTTGTGGTTGTTATTAAAGCTAGACTTTTCTACAAATACTACAAGGAGCAGCGGCGTTATAGTCAATCATGGCTGAACAACAAGAACCAACCAGTACTGGTACATCTCAATCATGCAACTTTGCTTCTTCCTGGGAAATTCGATGGAGCAAATAGCTCAAATCAAGCAGACCTTCGGCCAAAATGGCTACGACGTTTTTTACGCTATACGTATACAGCTTCTGGTTTAAATAACAAATCAGATATGGAACAAGTAAGTACTCTCTTTTACTCTGTGGGTGATTGTGCTGATGATATCATAAAAACATTGGAGAAAAACAAAGAATCATCTTCTTACGAGGAAGTTAACGCGGCTTATAATATTATAAATATTATTGTAGAAAGAGCACGTTTCAGACGACACAAACAACATCCAGGTGAGCCCATTGAAACATTTATTCAAATTTTCATCGCCTAGCTGATAATTGCGAGTTTAGAATTCTCAAAGATGAACTTGTTTGGGACAGAATAATTGTTGGAGTCCTTGATGATGCACTGTCTGATCGTTTACAGGCTAAAACCAAAACTTACCCTTGCAGAGGCTGTTAGAATGAGCCATGAAAGTGAAGCACACGTCGACAAAATCATACCGTGGTTCGTGGTGAAGAACCTGATGATGTTAGTTATATCAAATACAACCAACCAAGGAAGCAAGATGGTTGCCGTCAAAGTGGTGGGTCCAATAGTAACCGTCCACCTCGCGATATCAACATCAAGATCCATATCAATGGTGTGTCCGACAGTGACACAACCGAGCAGTCCGTCCCGCTATAAGGAGGCATCATGCAATAACTGTAGAAAAAAGGACATTTGTCTGCAGTGTGTCGTATTTCTCGAGTCAAATCGAAGATCAATGCCGTGGAGGAAGAAGAGATAATATTTCTTGGAGAAATTAGTTCAGATGTAAACTACTGGACTGCCCAACTTGGAGTTGACAACCATAACACTCGCTTCAAATTGGGTACAGGAGCTGCAGTTACTGTTCTCAGCGATCAAACACCATGGTTGAAAAATATGAATTAAAATTGATTGATACACAGAAGATTGAGATTCTTCGTTGTTCTGGAAACACACATCTTCCAGTTAAAGGCATGTTTAAATTAATGCCACTTTAAAATATCGTCAGAGAAAAATTGAGGAGCCAGTGTGGCAAATCCCCCTAGATGTGGAATCCCAACACCTTACCATATTTGTAACACCGTTCCGTCGACATTGTTTCAATCGTCTCCCTTTTGGTTAATTGATGTTCAACGCATGAAATATTTCAGCGTACTATGTCTCAGATCCTGCAGGGTCTCACAAGGGTCATCTGCAAGACAGATGATATTCTTATTTATGGTGTTGACCAAAAAGAGCACGACGAACGTGTCAGGGCTACCTTGCACCGCCTCCAAGAAGCTGGCGTTACACTCAACGACAAAGTACATCCGTAAAGTTCCTCGCCCACATCATTGATGGAACTGGGATACAAACAGACCCCCAGAAAATCACTGCCATCACCCAGTTTCCCGAACTGGTGTTGATATTCCAAAATTGCAAAGATTTCTGCGAATGGCCACTCATCTTGGTAAGTTCATTCTCCATTTAGCAGGGATGAGTGGACCACTTCGCCACCTTAGCTTTTAAAATATAGCATTTAGCCTAGGGAGAGTCACAAAAAACAGCCTTCAACGGTTCAACCTGATCAAATCCGCCCTTGTCTCCCCCGGAGTTCTTACACATCACAACCCTAAATATCTACTATAGTGTCTGCTGATGCATCAAACCAGGGAATTAGCTATGCAGCGATGCTACAAGTTAAAGAAGATGGGAAACGTCACCCGATATGCTATGCCTCTCGATCTCTTACGGATGCAGAGAAACGTTAAGCAGTTATTGAAAATAAGTATATATATATATATATATATATATATATATATATATATATATATATATATATATATATATATATATATATATATATATATATATATATATATTAGGTCGCCTCAGACTATATCTTAGGTCTTCATTAAGGCCGTTTTCCACTAGGCGGAAATTTGCGCGCGGAACGGAATTTTTCTTTGTCTTGTGATTTCTTGGGTGGAACTAATTGGAAAAGACAAAGATAAATTCCTCTCCGCGCGGAAAATTCTGCATAGTGGAAAACGGCCTTTATACGATCGAAACAGACCACAAACCTCTTACTGCCCTACTAGCATCCACCGAGCTTTCCCAGATGCCCCCTCGCATACTGCGAGGCAAATAACATAATTCCTGGCAAACATCAAATCGAAGCTGATACTCCTTCTCGTGCTCCAGCTATAGCCGCCTACCAGTGAAAGACAACGAGATTCTTGTGCAAAACGTCGAAATCATGGCAACAAAAAGGTGAAATCCCTTCCAGCTTCCATCAACCGCTCGCAAAAAATACGACTAGCCGAGATCCTTTTGCCAGAATGGATGGCCATCATACATGAACTATATATACTGTATCAACCTTTTATGCGGGCTATACTGGAAAAATAGGAATCATTTTAGCATTGTTAATGACCTGCTTCTATATAATTATGATGATCGTCTTGTGATACCACGAGCAATACAATTTTAGTCAAATCCACACTGGCCACCTCGGCTTAACGAAATGTCGATCTAGAGCGCGTTAATTCATCGTTGTGGTGGCCTGGACCATCAAAACAAATTGAAACCCTCGTACCATCTAACCACCTGCTACCACTACCACGTGCTAAGAACTACCAACTCCTAAGGACCCCCTCTTGCCTTCGTCTTTCCCATCCAGGTCTTGGCAAAGGATTGCCACCAGTATATACGATTTCCAGGGGTAAAAGTACATCAGCAGGGCCGTAGCAACCGGGGGGGCTGGGGGGCTGCAGCCCCCCCCCCCCAATAATTTGCTAATAATCATTCTTTTTTCAAAATCATGGAAACTTTATCATTTAATCTGTGACAAACTGCAAAGAATGAAGATATTACTCATACTCCAGATCGTTCCTCGCGTAGAAATTTTAGCTGAATTTCTGTCGCGTATTTTCAAGAAAATCCCACAAAATCTGCACATTTTTGATGAACTAATGATTTATCTTGTCTTTTGCGTGTTGGGTCTTGCGAAAGAAAACTCTGAAAATGCCATTTCAGACCATCTAGAGACTCCAGATTTTCAAAATTTTCTCAAATGTTCTGCCTTCATTTCCGCGCAACTGCCATTTACGACGAAAATTCCCGCCGCGCATTTATAATACTACAGTCTGGCCCATACTTTCCTGTAAATTTCGACATACTAAAACGCTGTTTTCTGACTATCAGAATTCTGTTAAATCTTCCCCCAAAGTCCAGGAAATGGCATTTTAGAGACTCTAAATTTAAAAATTTCCTCGGGCCTTCGGCCCTCGCTTTCAGCCCCCCAATCGAAAAGAGCTTCCTACGGCCCTGCATCATCATGGTTGACTACAACTCAAGGTGGTTGAGATTAGAAAACTGCGGGATGAAACAAGTAAGAGTGCTATCGAGCCTTTGAAGAGATATTTGCAATCCACAGTATTCCCGACCAGGTACAGCAATGTCGCAGATAATCGTCCACAGTACGATGCTGAATGCTTTCGTGAGTTTGCTGCTACATGCATCTACATATAGGTTTACATATGTGACCAGCTAGAGCGGGCTATCAGAACAGCGAAAGCAATTCTATGGAAAAATGAAGATTTCCATAATGCTCTTTTGATATACCGATCAACTCCACTTCAAAATGGCTTGTCCCCAAGTGAATTTTTGATGGGACGCCGTTTGCGACCACAGCTGCCAGTCCATCCAATGAACCTTCAGCCCAATGTAACAACTGAGGACAGTGAGCAGGTGAAGAGAAAAGAAGCCTCTAGTCGTCTGAAGCAACAAAACAACTTCAACAAAGCAAAATATCTTGCACAACTAAAACCAGGTGATGCAGCTTGGGTAACAGACCAAGCATGTGATTGACTAGTCATCTGACAGACACAATACCCAAGATCGTATCTAGTAAAAACTGAGAAAGGTGGTATGTTAAGACGAAACCGTAGTGCATTAGTAACTATTGGTCCACGAAATAACCCAGAAACTGGACATGCGGACACCGACGATAGCGAGACCACACAGCATGCAGAAGTAGAAGATGGGGAAACTTTGTCGATTTCAAATCCAGAAAATCCTCCTCCCTCGCCAACAACAACTGCCAGTTCAGAAGATTCGCTTGTCCCATCACAAGTTACACGTCGGGTAGAAACGTAAAACCTTTAAACCGTGAGAACGCTATAAGAACGATATTGACTTTTGACATTCTCAGTTAGTTTGAGAAAAATGAACGGTGTTGCATTGCCTTATTTTAAAATAGGATAATTGTTGTTATTGTTTTGAAAAGTTAGATGTAGGACTATCATGTATAGCCATAGCCAGCAATGCATGCCGGGAACGCGGGAAAAAGGGAGTCGGCCATATTTGTAAAAGCGTTTTGTGGTTGATATTAAATAAAAGCTAGACTTTTTTTACAAATACTACACAAAGTATTGATCCTTTGTTTACACAGACTTAATGTTGAAAATGTCGACATTTTCTAATTTCAAGTTTCCTGGAAAATGTGTGAAAAGGTTGCTGCAGAATGCAGGCTATTGCCAAGGAGAAGATATATTAAAGTTCTGTGTATATGAAATCGACTACGAAATATTCTAGCCAGCGTGTTTATAAACAACAGTCAACATACCGGGGTAAACAAAATCCGCAAAATAAAATAATTTTAATACGGCTGAATTCAAACGACAGGAGAAACGATATCACGTGAAGGTCTGGTACAAAGGTCAATCTGTGAATCGTGTGATCATACACGTGCAAAGCGCAAGGCTGAATTAACAACAAACCATTGTCAAATCTCTTCCCATGCGTGCGGGAAAATAGACCAATCAGGTTTCACCTCTTCGTCTGCATAGTTTCCTGCTTGGATCAGTAAGCCTCATTGTGTCACTTGCAAGCAAAATTGTATGATCTCGTGGCAAAGTACTTCAAAATTATACTTTTGGAAAAGATATTTCGTGGATATAAAGCAACGGTCAGTAACACAGTATTATTCAGTGAGACGCAGTTTATTGAAATATAGCTCTGCCGCGGGCAAGCGCTTTTACTCTTCTGGTGGACAAAGGAATACGTTGGCTCAAGTATTGATGTATAATTCGTGAGACGCAGTTTATCAGTCAAATATAACGTATAGGAATACGTTGGCTCGTGTATTGATGTATGATTCAGTGAGATGATGTTTATTGAAATATAACTGCCGCGGGCAAGCGGCCAAGCGCTTTTACTCTTCTGGTGGACAAAGGAATACCTTGGCTCAAGTATCGATGTGTGATTCAGTGAGACGCAGTCTATTCAAGTATAACTCTACAGTGGTCAAGCGCTTTTACCTTTCTGGTGGACAAAGGAATACGTTGGCTCAACCGATGAAGTTAAATGAAGCCGCCGCTGGGGGAATTATAACAAGATCGAGAGGCCATACACGAATTCAACAAGTGTCATTTGATATCATTCGTATATCAATGTATATGTATGCACATGCATTTGGTGCGTAAGTATGCGGTGAATTCACACGTTTGCTTCGTATTTCGCTTTTCAAACCAACCAAAATGCTTTAACTTCATCTATTTTATCACAGAATTCGAGAATAGTAATTGTCGAACGCCAAATGTATCGACTATTCACGCTAAATCGATCTGTATTTCAATTTCGATTTCAATGTCAATTTTATTACCATCTTGAGGTTATTAATTAACCGGCCAGATTGGGCCTCTGATTCGGGGATTGGGTTTCAATAAAGCGTCACATTAAACTGCATTCAATCATTAAAATGTAGATTATATAAAACTTCCTTTCTAGCTATTTCAGGGCACTCTTTAATAAAACAAACACTAATTTGGACCGTATACATTATCAATACCTTACTGGGCACAACATAGGAAATCAAGTTCATGTGTGAGAGAAAATTAGGATCTACTTTATCTACATTTGCGATAAATCGGCAAGTTGGATATGTCATGAAAGATTGGTTACTCATGAAAATTCATTAATGTCTTATCACTATACTGCATGATCTTTTTAGTCTACCAAATACATATTCTTACAATTTCTAGCTGCTACTCTCATACATGCATGATTGCATGTTCAAACAGTTCAATCACAACACTGTGGTTATAAACACCTGAATTGCATTTTGATCCTGCTATTTTAAAATATTGAACAAGCTATTTTTCCTGAGATTAAAGTCATATAATTCGAGAATTATATTATGTCAAGTTAAGTTCCGCCAATCATAATTAAAATAAAATAAGTGGGGTTAACAAATACATGTTGCAAAATTGCTATCGAACACATTGACATTAAAAATAAATAAATCGTAAGGAAAACAAAACAAAAAAAATAATAAATAAATAAATAAATAAAAAAAATATGATAGTGAGCTTTATTTGTCGTGTTACCAACCCTCCAATCAAGCACCTGTAAGATAGAAGCTTTGTGGGGAAGCTGCTGGTTGTCTTGGCCCCATCCAGGTTTCCTGTAAAGATATTGCAGGTTTTTCCTGGCCTCCCTGATGTTCCAGCTGTAGTATGAGTGATGGTAATGCTCAAATATATGTCTTACGATCAACTTGTAGTTTCAAAAAAAAAAAAAAAAATTCTATTTGCATATAACATGATTTTAATCAATTAATTATTTAAAGTGTGTCGAAAGAGAAATATAGACGACATGTCTTCGAAAAGCACAAAGATCATCTGTCTTCTATACGATTACAGTTGTGGTGGGAGTTGGGTTTTTTCGTCTATGGGGAATACACATGCTGTGTATTTGTGGGGATGGAGTGCTCCCAAAGGTCACCCTCAACCCCATAGACTCACACAAATCAATGTATTATACAGTGTATTATAAAGTAAACAATGACCATCACGGGGATCTACTACCCCTTGGACATTAAAGTAAACAATGACCATCACGGGGATCTACTACCCCTTGGACATTAAAGTAAACAATGACCATCACGGGGATCTACTACCCCTTGGACATTTAAGATGCCCATCTCGGGGATCTACTACCCCTTGGGTAAAGTCCAACATGGGGGAACCACAACCCCCTGAGGACATATAATTATATCATAATCATATTGCTGTAATAGTGAGTCTGTGGGGCGACACTTTGGCCACAGTTTAAAGTATAATCGGAGCATTTCTCCTCGACAACCCTTCTCCCACAACATTGTGTGTGTGTCATAGTTGTTTTCTTAATTGTCCTAGAATATTTGCTTAACGAATTGGTGCATTAATTTTTATTAAAAAGAATCAATCTTTTCATGGCATTTTAGAGAAATAAACAAAAATTCTTTGATATTCGTTCGTTTGTTTATATTTTTTATAAATTACATACGACTTATAATTATTACTGTTTTCCATATTTTACGGTGGACTCCGTATTTTCCATGTGACTCCGTGTTACTTTTCCATATTTTTTATAATTATTATGACTCCGGCATTCCGACGTGTTTTCCATGTTACCGTAAATGTTTGCATCATCAGCAAACAATACAGTATAGTGAAAGTGTGAAACTATTTTAATACAATTCTAAATGACAGATTGTCATTTATAGTAGCAAAAACAGATGGGGCTATTTTTAGGTTAACCAGGAAAATCTTAACCAGGGTGTTTTTAGAGTGTACCAAAATGTAAGCCAAAATAGTGCAATCTTGTAAAACGCTCGCAGTGTACACATGCACGGCTACAGAAATCTTAGAATGTGATTATTGGCACAGCTTGCGGCTAACTACTACATTGCGGAAAATTAACGTTAAATTAAATTTAGTTCGGCGTATTTGGGGTATACATGCATGATGTCCCAAAACAATATAGCCGGCTGTATTCCAAATTATTGCACAGCTCCTTAACAGATTTTATCTGTATCCAATTCTATACAGCCATAACATTGGTTCCGATTGAACCAATTTTAATAATTTTAGTGTCAAAATTCATCTCTCAGATTAAATTTTTGATGTCCACAAATAATTACTGCAGTGTTATTGCACGTGTTGGGACATCCTGTACACTCTAACGTCCCGACGAATGGGCCTTCGCTCGAAACATCGAAGTTCTGCTAATATTTTTCAGATATATTTAGTTGTATTTCTCTCAGTCCGCAGTTGTCTGTAAACTTCTGTATAGTCTATGTAGGGAACAAAATATGAATTGCAGGATAATTAAACGACAAAACGTAACGGGTGAAACGTACCCGTAAAAAAGATTTAACTTAGACGTACACTACCATGGGCACTTCCATTAAGGTATACGTTTACACACTGCGATTTGTCGTGTTTCGTACGCTGGCGTATGAAAATTGCTTTTGACGCCACAATTCGATTACATATATGCCAGAATACGAATCGTATATATACACAACAAATCGTAGCTTGTGAATGATGCACCCTAATACCCTTCCAAGACGTCATTCGCATTAGAGTTTGTCTCTGAGTGAGAAGTATCTTGAAGTTTATACGCACATATGAGCTTAGAAACACGAGAAACTTAGGTGCACGCCTTACTGAAAAAATATTAAATTTGAGATATTCCATAAATGTGGCAGCTATATATAGGTGACGTCTTTCAAAACGCACAAGTATCACGGCAACGCGAAGTAATGGCCATTTATTGATAGACATTCAGTGGAGTTGCCTGCTTGTCCACTCGTTCTTCTATATCACGCAGTTCAATTAGCTTTTTTATAACTATTAAAGTTACTTGGCCACTGTACTCCACATGCAGTTACAGTAGAGATACAGTTTTAAACTAACAGTAACAAGTTCATTCACGTCGAATTCTCGAACATGGCGAATGAACGCTAAGCTCTGTATTAAAAGACCTGCATGCATAAAGGGCGGTATATGGACTATATAGCTCAATGTTACTCGAGTGTGACCATATAGGCGGAAAAGCCTTGAATCGGTTGTAAGAAGGTGGATGGCGCTATATCCACCGGATATAGTGATTTTTAAACCTTAATTTGTAAAAATGCTTGAAAATATATAAAAAATGAAAATTACGGCTCTGAACCTCACAATTCATAAACAGAATCTCTAATTTATAGATACTAAAGTTTAGTCTGGGCTAAATCAAATAACAGACAATTTTACGAAGCCTGAAAAAATTTCTATCCGGCCTTCGTATAACCGGCCTCTGCTCTGCTGTCCGAAATTTTACTACAATTTGAACAGTCGATAAGGCCCTGTAGTCGACTAAGTATAGACGACGCTTCTGCCAAGTATTTTGCCGATGACTTCACACAGAGCCACACATATAGATAAGTACATGGCGATAAATATAATTTATTTGTTTTGTGGAAATCGGACCGAGTTATTTAATCCCAAACAACCTAACCGTCAGCCCGGATCATCATGATTACTTGTATTGATCCGGGTCCAAAATATTCCTGGAGAAACATTTTCATGTTTATTTAAACAAGCTTTTGGGAATTGCGAGGGATGGCCGAAAACAATCATTCAATTTTATTTAGTTTAGACTTACCTAAGAACTACAGTCATGAACTCCAGATCATTCCTTCTCAGCCTGATTTCCCCATACTTGAAGTTATTAAACGACTTATTAGATAATGCAAATGCCAGAACAAGAGGCACAAGCGAGACGTCTTGTTATATAATTTCTTATTCTGTGCTATAGAAAGTAATCATCGAGCCCCAGCATATGAATGCCGTATTAGGCATTAATTAATATAATAAGACATTTTCATGATTGAAGTTTCTTATTACATATAACTTTGAATTCAACACACAAAAAGCGCGAAATGTAAGTCTGCAGATGTTCAGCCAAAATAACATTAATCATTTATGAACTGAATTTCTAATCAGAGACAGCTGTAGTTTAAAATTAACGTTGTCATTGAAAATGACACTCAGTTGGAAAAGAACAGTCTTTGTGCATAATCCCATTATATGTTTACAGGAAAGGTTTGACATCTGAACACGGCTCATATCAACAACACACATCAACGTCTTATATTATGTTACTTTAACACTAAATGAAGATCATACGGTAGTTAAAGGAAATATGGAGACCAAATCTCGATGATTAAAAATTTGCAGCACAGAGCCAAAATCAAGGAAGATTTATTAATGGATTCAATTAGCCACCTCTGTGTCGGTTAGTTATAAAATGGATTACTTGATAGCCTATTTCTGTCTTGTACTCATTTTTGTCCATCAAATTGTCGGTGTAAAGGAAATGTACAGAGAAAATGAGTTATGGATGTTTTATGTAAACAACGATGCAAATGTCTCAAGAAACTCTACACAGCAAGGAAGGTATCAATCAATCAATACTAACCTTAGTGTCAGTTATCAGCCAATGACAAGAAACTTTCACAGAGACATTGAAACATTTTGTGAAATTTTAACGAAAACGAAAGTGGTTGCATTTCTTTTACCTCCTAACTTTGAAGGCAGAATTGAGTTCACTTTGGCTGCAAAACATCTTGCAATTCCAGTGTTGAACGTGCCAAAATCTTCAAAAGATACACAGGTAATATTATATGCTTCATTAAACTTTAAACAGCTATATATGTTAGGCAAACATGATAAACGGAAGATTAACGGGGAGTGGGAAATTAATACAAACGCAGAGCAACAATTGAATGTACAAAGAAAACAGTAAAATCTTCATGTATATTAAAAATGATTGCATGTCAGACATGTTTGTATAGGATCAGGTCGGTTAGATCTTAGTTCAATCAAGCTCAAACTACACTTAATATATTATTGTCTCACAAGTGATATTTCCCATTGTTTAAACTGACTACTTTAAATGCAACTATAGTAAACTATCGATTGGGCGGATTGCACAAAAGATAAATGCAACAACAAAGTCACCGCGTGATCTGTATGTAGATCTATTTTAAAGCCACGTTGCCGATGAGAAAAATTAAATCAAAATGAATCACAAAATCCCATTCTGTCACATGCAATGGACTTTCAAACCTCGCCCGTCTTTGCTCAAAAACATGGTCAAGGTTTTGAAATTCGTCTTTTAAAAGTGCTTGTTCTAATTGTTATGTTAATTAATGCATGCAAATTTGTCAACGGGGAAGACGTAATTGATAATTTGTTGCACACTAAAACAAATATCCAATGATATCTGCTCTAATCCTGCATACGTGCTGTTAAAATATTAATCACCAAAATGTAATAGATTTGTGACGCGGGTTTCAGCATAAAATCGTAGTGCATTTAAGATACTTCACGTCATCAGACCATATTCCAATTCACACTGACCAAAACTTACCAAACATCATGTAGTCCAGAAAAGCAGGAGTAGCAGCTTATTCGTTCAATCATGTCCTCTAATTGATAAAACTGGTTTCGAATGTTTCATCAAGCTTTTGTCAATCTGCTTATCCCAGCACAGATGTTCGTGAACCAATACGCCTAAGGTCTTTTTGGTTTCAACCTCTTTTAATACTTTCCCATCGATAGAAACATTATTGTCTTGAGAAAGATTATTCAACCTTTGACGTGTTCCAATGATCATATATTCCGTTTTTTCTACATTTAACGTTAATTTGTTTGAAAGAAGCCAGTGATGAATATTTTCCAATTCACTATTTAAGGCCTCTTCCACATGAATTAAACTAGATGAACGCACTGTAATATTTGTATCATCAGCATACATTGCTGCATGTGAGTTCGCCATACAGTTTGGGAGATCGTTCACATATAACAATCAAAGGCCTTCGAGGCCGACTCACGGATGAGATCAAATTAATTAAAGGGGGATATGATTTACAGCAGTTTTTTACAAATGGGAACCGTGCAAGGGCAAGGACATTATTTGGTAAAACACAACATAATATAAAATGTTCCCGAA